TTTCAAAATTTCATTTCCATTCTTTCTTCTAACGTGTTAAAAGCCCCCCCCCCCCCCGAAAGTAACCTTAACCTCCAGAAAAGCCATAAGAGGCAATACATTAATGAAGCAAAAATATTATTATTGCACAAAAACAAAGGATTCAGAGAAATGATAAGAGATTGGTCAGTCCCAAATCTGTAAGCTTGTTTTCGTGCATCCTTCAAATGTGCATGATGTCATCTTCTCTGTATAAGATGGGATGAAAGGATTGCAGTGAAAAACAAATTACAGAAAGATATACTTGCAGTTTTATAAAGATCTGTTGGCAATTGAATTCAACTCTTTTCTTTCAGCTCTCCAAAATTTATTAAATCCTTAATCCTATGTTTGTCAGTTGAAGTTGTGTAAAATGGTTTGTAATAGTCATGTGATGCACTTCAAAAGTGGTGGTGAAATCGATGTTTAAATTAAAACAGGTGTAGTTTTTGACCCTGTGGGTCATGGAGGGGACATCTAAACACCTCTCCTCAGAAAAATTTACTTGCTCATCTACTGAGACAGTTTATTGTCATTTTTTTGGAATGTTGACAAAGTTTCATTGTTTTTTAGTAGTGTTAGTCGGTGCTAAGCACGAGTCCAGGGCACATACATGTATATGAAGTATAGCAGCCTTGTGTGCTTTGCAACTATACACCTAGCTAACGATCATAGTATGAATGTCTTGAAAGGAGACAAGAAAGAAGATTTTTATGACTAGAATTCATGTAGGGAAGCTTTCTTGCAGCATTGTGGTAAAAGGAAAAAAAACTTCAAATTTTGGTTTTATGCACATTAAAATGTCCATATTTATGACTGCATGATGTCATCTATAGCTCTGTGTACATATATAGGTCACACTTTTCTGCATTTTTGGACTACGTTTCTCTTTTTACTCATTTATCGCATTAAGGATCTTGTTTGAACAATAGTAATGGCCAATATTTCTTCAAAACCTTGTCGAGGGGTAATTGCAAAGGACAAATTTATTTTTGTACTTTTTTCTCGTGCTCTTGTGACAAGTAATGCTGTGTGTAACAACAGAGAATAGGGCCCTGTCAATGTATTGATGAAAGGATTTCCCAAGAATGGAAACAAATTCCCACCTTCTTGACACTTTTCATGAAAAGAAGTATTTAGATCTTGTTTTGTTTTGTAACATAGTAATATGTCTGAAAGAAGTTCAGCTGAACTGAACTCTAAGGAGGGGCGGAGAAGCCCCCCCCCCAATGCCATTTGTTTTGTCATTATGTTTTTAATTGAGAGTGCCGGTTCTTTGAAAAAAAGTAGCACTGTACTTCCTTTCTTTAGGATTATTTGTACAATTTGGGGAATAATTTGTAGAGAAAAAAATCCCAGTTGCACTGCATACGCCATCGGCAATATTGGTAAAAAGGTAAGGAATGCGTAGATGTAGAAATAGTTTTCATATATTAGACTGGTCGGTACTTGTCTTTATCATCATGGGCATCTGTTTAACTTGCAAGTTGAATCTGTTCTTTAAATAATTATTGTGTTATAAAAAAATGTGCAATATTCTTTCTTTGTGCATGTGCCGACGCTGAGCCGGGATCCAAGATACCTTTCCATTAAAAAAGAATGCGTGCACGTGAAGCTAAGAATGTTTGATGTCATGGGTGACCTTTTCTCATTCTTTTTGCCTCAGAGTTTTAAAAAGCTTAGCAGAATGTTTCTGTTGGAACGGGCTCCTCACTATCAATGTTTCCTGTGTGTTGTCTTGTTCCACTTTTCTCGTGTCCTTTTTATTCACCTGCCAAAAAAATTAATAACAATAATAATGCAGGGGTGCGAGAATTCAGCTTTTTTAGCTGATTTCCGCTTTTTGGTTTATATGTTGACCTTGAATGTCAGCTTTTTTGTACACCTGGTCTGGGCAAAAGTATTAGAACTTTTTACATTTCAGCTTTTTGGTAACTGTTTTTGGCTTTGATTTTAACAGGCCACTCACATCCCCGATAATGATAATCAATTACCACTTCGGCAAACTGCTCTTTGCCCAATTACTGTTGTGCAGTTTTGACTCCAACTTCCCTTTTTGGTATTGTTTTTATGTAGACCCTCCCGTTGTGATTAGGATTGGACAACGAAAGTCATTTCTGATTCCCCCCCGGCAAATTTGCAATTTGTCGACTGTTTTGTGGCCTGTGAGGGCGCTGTTGAAGTAGTGGCCAACTAGATGCACCCGTACTGTCCCTGGAGTTTTCTAAATATCGGCTACGCCAGCGGTCGGCGCGGGCTACAGGTGCACGAATTTAGGCCCCTGAGTTAACGTCAGCCCAGTGGAGTTCAGCTTATTGCTATAGGAAGATCAATACGATTTCCAGCTTCAGGATACTTGCTACTGCGCCAGCAGTAAATATGTGAAACTCGTGGAACACCGAGACGAACCGGATTGAGCAAAGCCACGATTTTAAAAAGGGCTGATGGCCTTTCATTTGTTTCTGGGCCGTAACTGCCGCCCTTCTTGCCAAGTGTCGGCAAACGGGCGGCCGTGGCAACAACCCGATGCTGCCCGTAGTGATTTTCATTGGATCATACATGAGGCTTTACCAAAGTAGTTCTTACTTCAGATCCTGACCCCTTTCAAAATAGCAGGCATAAGATACCCATTGAAATGAATGAACTAGGGCGACTGTATCCCTCAACTGTACAGAAAAAAAGAGCCTCAAAGTCTAATTCATTTTTTTAATTCATAGTTTTGTACGAAGTTCGCTTATTTAAATATGGTACACCTGACCAAGAAACATAAGGTGCTAAATCTTGTTGCCGTACTTACAAATAAAAGAAAATGTCGACTTTGTCTTCACTGTTGAGTAAAATTATGCCGATTCATTACTGTTGACTTGACTCGGCATAAAAAAAATTGGCCCCATAAAAGGTTAGGTAGTCCCATATCAAGCTTGCCGTCTGTGTCATCGAAGTAGTTCATGGAACGAGAAACAAACAGGTGGAGAACTATATAAACTAGAATCTACCCACAGACTGGAATAGCTCAAACTTGGCTGTTTTGCGGGTGTCCTTTTCGTGTGTATCTTGAACTTACGTCGAAACCATGATTCCGGAAGTAGCTCAAATAACTTCTCCCTATTTCTCACTGCATACTTCCAACCTGTGTTTCAGTCATGGCATTCATTCAATCTCATACACCCCCAAGCACCTATCACGCCATTTCGTATACCGAATCAAATGTCTCCCGGGCCGAATGGTGTAAATTTGTGCCTGGCAGGAGTGGATGATGGGCATGACTCGAATTGCCAGTGAAATATTGACCAGCCACACAAATTCGAAACTGAGCGGATGGGGTGTGGGTTGCTAGTCACCATACGAAACTGTAAAGGGTCAGTGTTCATGACACCGTAATGATGGACATCTTGTGCAGTCTTTTGCCCCTTACATCAACACCCGACGTGTACTTTATCGTGTTGGGTGCAGGGCCGCTATCCGTGCTAGATAATATCTTTAGTCCAAAGGCCTACATGAACTTTGAAACTGTCGGCGCGTCGGGCCTGGTACGGGGATTTCCCCCAATAAATATATGTATACAACTGATTATTGATTGCGCAACGGACAGTTATGGACGAGTTCTGTGTACGCATTAAAAAAAAAAAAGTAGTGAAGTCAGCAACGATAATGGTTTCGAGGCCAGCAGATGTGATCGGCAAATCAAACTGTCTTTAAAATAACCCTTACAGCTTACTTCCCTCGTGTTTATATTGGTTCATCACATCTGCCTGTCCGTCGTCAGAGTGGATGGCTGAACTCCACATAGGCCTAATAATTCGATTTTATTATTTCATGCCCATTTTTGGGGGGGTCATTACCGAAGTGTGACGAAGCCGGCACGTCACTATTAAAACCTAACATAATAGGCCCCTCTATGAAGAGATTATGGGGACAGTCTTTGTTGGAATCGAGGGCCATTCGGTGGCAGCTAGCATCCTGCAGTGCAGACACCATGAGGCCGTCCTCGCCTTAAGGGCGCACTGCCCAATTCAAGGGGAATTCTTCAGCAGGATGAGGCGCTCAAAAAGTACCCGTACATTTTATTTGACAAAGAGGAGAATTTGTGGCCCAAGAATTTGTGGGATTGTGGAAGAATGGCCTAGAATGAACTTTCTAGATTCAAGGGCTCCCATTCTACGGCAAAGCATAAACAAATGCTACTGAAAAATTGTCCCAAGAGCCTAACAAGGTGGAGGGATGTCATTTGAAAAATGGCCGCAGACAGACTTGGGAACGTTCACTTTTTGGGAGGTGAGTTTTTTTTGGTGGATAATTTAAAATTTCATCGGTTAACCTACTAAAAATTGAAAATCAATTGAGAGCTGAATGACCCCAGAACACTTTGTTTTTTTGTTTGAGAGGCCTGTGAGGGACTTCGGTTGCCCGCACCGGGGCTGCAAACGTGGTCGATTTTACATTGTCTTCAATTGGGCTTCAGTTTCAGTGCACCCCTAGGGGGTTATTAATGGGTTGTCGACAGTCAAAGGTTAAGCAGACCCACCCATGCAGGCCACAGGTCACGAGCACATGCCTCATGGTTGTGCATAATGCGCGCTACAGTCCCCAAATGTTGTTGTCCCCAGCGGTAGGCCTGCATACCTGCAATTGTTTTAAAGGAGGAAACACTTTCCACATAAAACATGAATCCTTTTTAAAAATGTTCTCCGAAGTTCAATACAGTCGCAGTCTTACCTAAATGGGGTCAGGGAGAAATACATGTGGATAGAAGGGTCGGCATCCTTGTACATTTACCAAATGTTGATTTGTGACGAATTCAAATAAACTCGGTGAGGCAACATCACCTTAATTAAACTATTGGCTACTAATGGTTCTGTCAATAATCCAGAGCTACCAATATTTTAAATAGCAGTACATGCACTTTGGATTAATTTTTGGCCGATCAACAGGGTCACCCACATTGCATGCTCAATTTAGTGATATTGAAGTGCAGATTAGAGATAACCGGGGAACAACACGGCGTGTTGGATGTATTCTATTTAAGGGTGGGAGCTCTGAACTTGAAGACCCTTACGTGACTGATTCACATAGCTCCGTGATCACATGTTCGCGAGTAGCTCACAAGAACATGAGTCTACGGTGGCGAGGAGCAGGAAAATACACCCGCAGGGATAGGTGAAGCTACAGCCATTTACCCGATGAGCCCTTTGAAGAAGATAACCAAGTGTGGGTGTAGTTTATGGTCCAGTTTAGTTTGCGTAGGATTAACAGAGATTTCACCATACAGCAAGGAAACCAAGTTTAAATCCAGTGAAAAATTGTGTTTTGTCTCTGGATTCGTTGACGAGCTGCCGTCATCGACCTAGCTCTAGCCGGTTTGGGAGCCAACCATCGATTAAAAGCGACTTTGAAGTAGTGTAGGCTCACCTCGTTCATGCCGGCTGCATCACGTTTGTGAAGAAACAACCTGAAAGATCTAGTCGTAATATCTATTAGCACACACGCATCCGCTTCCAAAAAAGACAGAGGCAGACATGGCAGACAACACAATCTGCGTTTCTGCCCCTGCTGTGATCGAGGGTAGATGTTCGTGCCGCAGTTGCAACGTGAGCAACCCTGAGCCAAGATGGAAATTGCCGCCGCTGCTGCCCGATATTTCTGAGTACAGATGCATGCAATCGTATGGTATGTAAGACTCACTAATTTTTTTCTCCAACATCCTTTGCATTCAGGGATGGTTTAATTAAACGCGTGGAGATTAAATAGTTGGTGGGTGGATGACAGTAGTAAATAGATGAAAGTTCAGCAGATATGAGATGTCTTGCTAGTAGGATGGATGCGTGAATGAGTGATGGATTTGGGCCAAGCGAGGGTCAAAATTCGTAGAGATGTATTCGGAATACACAAGTCCTCTTTATCGGTTGGCCAGCGAGTTTGTTTTTCTTTTCGCTTTTTTAAATGTCAGGTAGAGTTATAGTTGTATTGCTAGTGAATTTGACAATTATCCAGTTATTGCATCTTTGTATATTCCTTAATTCATGACACGCTTCTTTCTTATTCTTCCATAATCAGTATATAAAAACATTACTCCGTGCTGCGCACCCATTCCCATTACCACGACCACCGGAGTACCAAAGAGGACGACACCTGTCAGTGTCACTAGCCCGTTGACCAACCAGACTGATCATGGGACCATCACCTCATCAAGGTCCACACCCCCCGATGTTTTGACCGCACTCCCGTCCTTCACTACACCCTTCGATGCAGGCCCTCCTTTGCTGTACCTACTGTCTCTTCTACTGATTCTTCCTGTTGCAGTCGCCATATACCTAATGCAAGTATTCTTAGGCAGTGGATAAACAATTGTGTTTGACTGATCGATCGTTGGAGTAATCAGTGATTGATCAATAAATCGGTCCCCTGGTCAATTTAATCAATCAGTCAATTCACCAAAAAATCAAGCAAGCAATCAATGTCACAGGAGATCAGTTTCATGTAGAAAATAAGTCCAGACAATCAATAAATATATCAAAATAACCTGATGATGTTCTAAAGAAAGTCTTCAACAAGTTTGTTTGGTTTAGAATATTCACTTTGTTAATGTTGAGTGTCATCCTTGGTGTTTGTTGGTTTATTGGTGCACATTTATGTTTCGTTTTCCTTTTCATGCACATAAGTTCCATCGTATGGCTCCATGTCTTTATTATGAAACAACAGTCACTTCCATACACGTCTCACATAGGCCCACTGGTATTATTTCATTTTATGCTAGTTGGCGATATTGCCAACCTAAGGAAAAACAAGATGACGATGATGCTGACAGCTCGTCGAACTCACAAGAATTGACGAAACCAGCCTGTGATGTTTCCTACGCAAACGAGAAGGCAGAACACACGATACCAGAGCCATCGATCCCAGCCACTCCAGACCACTCGGTGCGCGCCACCCAAACTAACCAGTCTGGGAACGAGGATGAGGGCGGAAACGTCGGGCTCGGGGAAGAAAGTGAATCCATCCCTTGGGAGGAGGTTGTACAAATGGTGGATGTGCCTGCCGGGGAGACCACAGAATCGGATGAAGACGAAACAGGAGAAGAGGCCCAAGATGAGTCATCATGGCTGTAGTCAGCGTCGGATGGCTAGTTTGGAATTATCGAATAACCACGCTCTAGATTCTTTTTATCTGCTTCCCCGGCTCCAAAATGGCTTCACAACGTAACTCCGCATCTCTTCACACAAGTTAAATTGTCCCCCAAAGGTTGGGTTGGTCAGGGCGCGCATAAGATGCCTATCGTTGCCTCCTTTTCTTCAGCTGTGGATCCATTTATTTTTACAAATGTAATCTAAGATTATCACTGTATGAATTTTTACATGGCCTTTTACATGACTCTCGTCAGAATTCTTATGATTTAATTATGAATGATGAATAAGGTAATGTGCTGTGTTCATGCGATTTCATTTTCTTATACGCATGTTTGTGTGCACTGTGTACTCCTCTGCTACGTTTAAAAACCATTCGGCATCCCTGTCTGTTAACTGTTTTGAAAGATGCACGTAATAAACAGTTGCGCTTTCCGGACAACAGAGGGTGCTGTTACTTTGATCTCACAAGGAAAGACACTGTTCATTTTATAGGATTTTCTTTTCAAATCTTCACACCAAATTGTGCTTAAAGAAAACATTTCTAATAAAGGGTTTGGGTTATTGCTGTGCACTCGGACAACAATGAAGCATCAAAGACAAGGAAATGCAGGCCATTAAACAAAATACTAAATTTTCTAGCATTTTTCTTTTGTGTACAGATTAATGGTACAGATTAATGTAACATTGTGGTTTTCTTCACAGAATGACATCACGGTTTGGCTCGCAAATATGGTAATATTAGAATAGAACAAAAAAGGACAAAACACCCTTTAAAATAGCAAAACAAAAATATTGAAACAAGGTTTACTGACATTCGAAGGTGCATTCTTGGGGGTTGTATTTAATTTAAAAAAACCTGCACAGACCCTTTAAATATTACTGACATCTTTTAGCCCCTGTATTGTTTATAGTACTTTTATTAATCAGTAATTACTGTCGGGGTTTTGACACTCGACAAGCTTTGCTCTTTGTATAGCTGCATGTCAGTCTTTGCTTCTTAAAAATCTTTGGAATCTCCGTGTTTATTAGCGAACTAAACAAAATGTGTTGATTGGTTGGTTTCTGCTGACTGTATTGGAAGCATTGTTCGGTTGAGATTAAAATCTATAAGTGAACCAAGAATGGCGATACCTTCCATCCAGTGCATGATGTGAATTGTTTGCACGAAACATGTAAATATTTCTAAAATTATTTTCATGGAGGCTGCGAAGGGTGAAATTGCAGTAGTCGCATTGCACCCGTCAATGACAAAAAATTCACTTTCGTAATTGTTTTCATTCCGGAGATCTGTATAAAGTTAAGCCGTGTGTGAAATGTTACAACCTATTGAAAATGCGATATATAGGCCTAAGAAATTTTTAAAATAAAACAGGATAGACCTTCCAAAGTATACAAATGTACGTAGAGGTGGATCTTTTCCAAAGTTGTATTTTCGTCTGTGCACATGTTCACAAGACAAGGGAAGTCGACCGTTCTCGTCCTACTTCTGACACCCACCGCGTCATTCAATGGGCCCACCTCGGCCGAGGCAGGTTTAACAACAACAGATGCTTGTCGCTGACGTTGTAATGCCTCAGTCATTTTTTCTTGAACACTGAAATCGGTTCCGTTCCCGCAATGAGCCGTATTCTACGATGTGGATGAACATGTCGAGCAAGGAAATCACCTTTCTGCTGGGAACATGAAAGTAATCAAGGTTTCACCACTTCTGTCTGTCTGCGTCTTCCACTCAATTGATTGAGTTGTAACTTCTACAAAAATGTAACCCTGAACCTGTTGGTATGTCTGCCGGCAAACAGCATGAATACTACATGCAGGCCTATAATTGTCGCTAACAATGCCCAACAAATAGTCTATTTTGGTCGTCCTGGGTTTGAATCTGTGAAGTTCTTCCGCCATTATGAGCCACCAAGGCGGAAGTAGAAACATTGTGCACATCCCATGCGATTATTGCTGTTACTGCCGGACTGCGCTTGCAGGAGGAAACAAAGAGCGGTACACGCATACGTGAGGTCTATAGGCTCCGTGTTTCCGAGTCGATCTGGGGAGGCCTACCTTCTTCTAAGAGCATCCGACGGGGGGAAGTAGTAACAACCATGGCGAATGATACATGGTGCATTCAGGTACCAGTGATCCTTGGGAATATCTCGGTCTGCCGCGGTTGCAACGTCACTCACACTGAGGAATATGTGAAGCCGCCCGAGCTGCCGGATCTTTCGAAATACAAGAGCAAGTGTACGCAATGGCCCCGCGGTATGTTACACTTGCCCAAATTCTCTGCTTATTTAATTTTTTTCGAGAATTTTGATTTAGGGCCTACTCTCCTTTTAAAATTTTGTCTACACTGGCAGCAGCCCTGTTGCCAGCTTCAGAAATTAAGGGGGCACAGCATCAGATAGGGAGCTACATAACAAGAACAAAACATTTGTATGCTTATGCTGTTTAACTGATGGGGGACAGCTTCTCACCGGGTGGTAGGCCCCATCAGGGCCCCCTTGGCGACGGGCCCGACTGACAGGTATCAGTTGATTCCAGTATTTGGAATGGTGTAAAAGTTGGATGTCAAAAGTATATTGAAAAAGTATTCACGGGGGACACCAATGGTTTGTCCAGGAATGGATGAAGGGTGGATGAAGGGATGGGCCAAAAACTCCGGACAATTATTCATTGGGAAGCTAATTGCTAACATTTTTACATAAGCCTTCATAGTTTCGGAAATTGGTCAATTATAACGGGTCCGACTTCATGATAAACATTAGTTTTGGTTCATGCACCGATAATGAAAGCATTTCTTTTTTGTTATCCCTTCAGCCCATCCGTGTTGCGAACCTTGCCCTACAACCACTGAACCACCAACTTCCACAGGTACCAGCCTATGCATTGTCTACGTTTAACCCACTGAAACTCAAACCGATAATTTGCCTACCACCTCACTGTGTAATCAAGTCTGTCTTTTTTTTCAATCAGGCTTTTTCTCTGTATCTAGTTTTGCTTGTGATTCCCAGCCACTTCCTGATCTTACTCCCATTATAGATGATCATTCTGTATATTCGCAGATTACTGAGGACTGAACCGTGGGCGATTTAGGGTGAAAATGGTTAATAGGTTCTGAAAAAGATTAAGTCATCGAAACAATACATCCATTTGAAAGAAGAAATTACACTCTCACCTGTGTTATCGTATTGCTATAGTTTAAATTGGAGGGAATGAATGGATAACAAAGTGTAAGCAAATAAAAAAAGTAAGCAATTACACCAATGAATAAATGAATTAACATCCACATCCATATTGTCGAGCGATACCATAACTCTACCTTTGACTACAACTGTTGCGATGGCAGCAGTTGTTAAAACAATTTCTACTGTAAAAATGTTTCTTACAGCCGTCGCTTAACAGCAACGGATACAATCATTACCGCCGCAACAGGTACAACCATTATAGGTACGACCATTGCCACTGCAATAGGTACAACCATAACCACCGCAACAGGTACAACCATTGTAGGTACGACCATAACCACCGCAACAGGTATAACCATTATAGGTACAACCATTGCCACTGCAATAGGTACAACCACAACCAACGCAACAGGTACAACTTTAAGCACCGCAACAGGTACAACCTTAACCACCGCAACAGGTACAACCTTTATAGGTACAACCATTGCCACTGCAATAGGTACGACCATCAATGGCACAACGGGATTCACCCCAGGCGGCACTATTACATCTACGGTTACTCCTCAAGTTCTTCCTAATGTTACTTGGATGTATTCGCTTTTCACATTGCTTGGATTCATGGTCTTCCTAGCCATCATTAATTGGCGTAGAGCGTAAGTGCTTCGTCCTGGTATTGGAATTATGGTCAGACATTTTTAGTGTTGGATAGAGCTGGAATTAGGTTTTTGTTGAGAAAAAAATGGCTCTCAAAACGTAACAGTGTTGTTTAAAAACTACATTCCAGTCCGAGTTTACAGAAAATAGAAGGCGTAGAACGTAGAGCGTAGCAGTGTTGTTTAAAAACTGCATTCCAGTCCGAGTTTACAGAAAATAGAAGGCATGGAAATATATCCATATCTTGACAATAGACTGCGCCACACGCATGACAGCTTTTGTACACAGAGGCCCACACGGGTAAAACTGGGGAATCACCAATGACGCATATTCATCAGAGGGATGGAGCATTCAGCGAAGCGTGCATGTTCATGCGGCGCCATTATACCGACGTCATTTTCCTCGTCCCTTGTTCCTGGGCAGTGTCTTCCAATGACCTGTTAAAAAGAAATGTGGTCATGAAAAGGCTCAGCACTTACAACAAGTTGAACCTTCCGGGAAAAGTTTAACCCCGTACCCATGCGTTGGCAGTCAATGGTACAAGGCTTATCTATCGTTTCATTCAAGGAAATGATTTGCAGTTTCTCCGTCTGTTGCTCATTCTAAAACGTTGCTTGCCAAAGAAAAAAAACGAAAAGTAGCTTTCATATACAGACAACACTGTGCGTAAAAACCTATTCGCTTGAGAACTACAGCTCCCTCAAACGGTCAAATCTTTTAAACATTTTAAGATTCATCATTTGTGTGTATTTTCTTTGTTTGCTCGTTTAAGTTCTTCTTTTTTTTTAATAGTCGTCGAGTTTCAAAAGCCACCCAAAAGAAAGACGACCAGATTTTACTTGTCTACCCTCCGAATCCGTCATCCAAGAAGTAAGAAACAACATTTTAGGAATTCCGTTTTACAACAAATGTATTGTTTTTAAAAAAAGTCAATCTCTACAGCCCTAATGATGTTTTAGTGTTGTGTTTGTAAACCACAAAGTAATGAAAAGTAGCTTATCCAAGTATTGACTGGGTGACATGTTTTTTTGGGGGGGGGGCTCACAGCTGGTCTTCTTACCTTAACAATATGCTCCCTTCCTGGAAGGGAACTGTGCGACGTACACTGTTCCAATCATCTTTCAGAGAAGTGTATGAAAACAATCAGCGACTCTTTTTTCAATGACCCCCTTTTGATCAGTGCTTGTGTGTTGACAAGGATGATTTACCTTCAACATGTATTTGTGCATACGCAGCTACAACCACGTCGTGTTTTATTATGAAAGTGTTGTGACTCACAAGACAAAAAGAAGTATACATCTCAGTTCTTGTCACCTCTAACGCGTGACACCAAAACTCTCGTTTGTTGATGACGGTAACATGAGTGAATGAATGGTTTTCGCAGGCTTATTACTTTCAGGATGTTGGTCATACAAGAAAGCCTTTTGATCTTTATTCATTGTGTTGCCTGCAGGTATTACAGATTGCGTTTCGGCACGTCAAAACCCTCCCCTGTTCCAGACAGTCCACCAGCCCAGAAAAACCCGGCTTTCGAAAACGATTACGAGAAGGAGCCCACCCACCCTATGATGGAGTCGACAGCCCCGGCCAACAATCAGGGTTACGTGAGCAATGTCGAGGATGAAACTGGCGGGTCGGACAAGGACTTTGGAGACGCCAGTCTGGCAAGGGTTAAGCTCCAACCTGATCCGAATGAAAAGAAGTCTTCGGAGAAGATGAAAGGTGAGGATAATTAGCCGGCTCGGAATCTGTTGTTTGCGTCCGTGGTCTAAACGGAGAGGGCGAAGACACAGAACGATAGTAAACACTGGTAACAAAAATGAACCTAACATGAACTTGATTGAAAATTGGCTTCATTAGTACAAAAATCTGCTCTTAAAGAAAAAGGTAAAGAAACTTTTTGTTGCATGTTGAAGCTGCGTTTAGATTATTGTGTAACTGGATCGTAATTTCTGTTTTCTTAATTTTTTTTTACTGCACAGTAGTCACACAGAATTTACTTTCTCTAACGGTTCTCGATCAGTTCCTAAGTAGGGACAAACAAATATATAAAATGTTATAAGTGTACAACCAACTTTGCACAGAGACTCTGTTCGGAAGTAAACAGGCATGCGCATGAGCATTCGGGTTGAACATTTCTTGCTATGGCGCCTAACAAACGATCCTAGAGGTACTGTTATCGTGTATGACATTGTCTGCTGAGGAGACTCCTTTGAGTAGAGCCATGCAATCGGGTCCAAGTCCGCGGCAACCGGCTGGAGTGAATAGTCATTCAAACAAATAGCGTAACCGGGAGGGGAGGATTTCTGATAAACGAAGATACAATAGTCCATGGGCGGATATTTCTTGTTTACATGTGGGGGGTGATTTCTGAAAGCTCAACGCGGCCTGAATCCCAGGCAAGTAAGGAATCCGTGTACTAGATAAAGACGCGCGTAGTCGTGACTGGAACAAGTGGGGTATGCTTATCTTTGTGTGTGTGTGTGGGGGGGGGGGGATATATCCCGCATCCCCCGGGATCTCTGCCCACGTAGAAGGCCTCTGTACACCGATACCCCACATCTACTGTTCTGGTTACTAGCTCTGATCATGGAGGAATAAAACACATTCCTCCATGCTCTGATATAGCTGAACATCCTGGTCCCCGGGGGGGGGGGGTGAAAGAGGATGATGATATTGCACTATTAAGTAAGCATCAGGTGACATGAAGTACACGCGGTGACAAATCCTGGGCGTGCCACTGTATTCAATATGTAAAGCGGAAAGACGGGACATTGTAACCCAGATTGTATTGCAAATGTAAACGCTATTTTCGTTATGTGTTTTTGCTTTTACAACTTATTACATAGATTTATCTTCATGCGTTATCTAAAATGTAAGCCAGTGATTCGGTTGGAATTGTTTTCGTTATAGAGCATTACTTTAAAATGTTGCAATTCGCTATGGTAGCATAAATAACAGTAAGCAAATACAATAAAATCAGGATAAAAACAAAAGAAGACAACAGCTTGTAGTTGAGGTCAAACATGCAGACTGTATATTTAAGCTTTGTATGAAAGAAAAGTAGGCCTGCCTGTACCAAAGATAAACAGGTACACACCAACCATATTGGGGAAATTCCTTTTAATGCGCTAGAATAGTGTAGGAATGGCTAGATTGCTTTATTAATTAAGATAAAGTTTACAAACTAATCATTTTTAAATGTGTTAAACAACTTCTCAAGTTTCACAGTACATGTTTTTACAAGAAACATAACTAATTGGAACGAGTAAGCAACTTAGTGTCGAAATGAAAGTTTACAGGCGTTCGAAATTTGAATTTTGTGTCATTCGTAAAATTTTGCATAACTGGTTTATAGGGCTGAATTACTGCTTTGGTTGGTGGTTAAAATATATGTGTAAACATTTGGGATAATACGTATAGCGTGGCGCCCTTCCAAAGTACATTCTTCCTTAAGTACTTGATTGTTATATTGAAAAATACTTGTTGCTATTCCGCATGAGAGTGGATTCCTTTGAAAAGCTGTTGCAAATTATGAGGGAAAACATGTTGTGTCGAATTAATGATGACAATGGCTTATTCAGGCAAACTGCAAAAATTAAACCCATAAAAATACGATACACTTTACAAAATAAATCAAACATATTACACTATAAAGGACATTAAATTTCAGAATAAATCCACTGACAGGACGAAGAAAAAGAGAATGAGAGACTCTCTATGACAGAGCAAAACCCCAAAAGTGAATTCGAGCACTGTCGCCCAAAGGGCGTGCCTCCCCATATCTTCCACAACGAGCAACACGAATAAAGATATGACACGGTATATAACAATGTAACATACAATACACGAGGGGTCAGGATACAGAGATACAATACACTGAGACGGGATACATAAATATCGCAAAAATGTGGAAAATTATATAAATATATTATATGATATTGTAAGTGTGCGCTGAGTGAGTACACAGTCCTATATGAATTAAACGGAATATCACCTACAGTGGAAATATCGTTGTGTTTGTGTGAATTTTATGGTGCACTGCAGTTTTATGCTTCAACCAATGGTTGCCCCCTCTACCCGTAGACCGTGTCAGTTGGTTGTTTTCAAAGTTATATCAGCAACTATTAACATGAGATGAGGGTCATCATATAAGCTGCAAGCACTCAATGTGAAATGTTAATCCGCGCGCATAGATTATATGACGGAAACATGGTAAACGATTCCACAGATGAGGTCTAATGTCATCTGAGCGGATGTGCAATTCCCTGAGCGTGGACAACTCGTGAAACTTGAACAGTTTCTGAGACTGACCACATTGCATGCTGCATGGCTCGTCCAGCCTGATTCGCGAAGAAATTTACGACTCACTTGAGTACCGTTCTCATGACTCCCAAGAATATTGTCTTGGAGGAAAAATTATTGCTTAACTGGCAGGACTTACGCTGTCGTTTCGCTGTCGTTTTGCCCGCAACGCCAAGCTCGGTAAATATGATTCTGTGAAAGGAAACTGTGAGGATCATCATGGCGTTCCATGCATACACAAACCCCGCAGACAGGAGGCCATGCATCCGCAGCATGTCTGCTGGGTCTGGTCAGAGCAGCGGCAAAGTCCCGTGTTCATGTAGCGACAAGGAAGTTGATGCGTTACCCAAACTGCCCTCCATTCCTAGCTGGCTCTGCACTGGTGGTATGTACTTTCTTTTTCACGGAGAATGTTTTGTTAATTTTCACACTGAATGCAAATGGGTATTCATGACATACATCGACCTTATGCACTTTTTCCGTCTTGTTTTCTGAGACCCTATTAAAGGCGTCGGTACTCATACTGTAACTTAATGCACTCGATTTTGAGGTTAGTGATTTAAAATTGTATTTTAAAGATTACAAAGGAAGAATATACAAAATTAACTGATTTTTAAAACTATTTTTAGGAAACAATTTTCCCTGTAATTAAAAATTGATAGATACAGTTTTTAAATTCTAAAACGTCTCGATTCATAAAATCTTACACATATTCTTTAGGAATTAAAAACAGAAAGTTAGAATTTTAAAAGGGAGACAGAATTATTTTAAAATGTCTCATCTGCCCAGTCCACGCCTCTATGCTTTGTAAAAGCAGGATTCTTATAGACAAAAGGGCATTAAATTTCTCATTAATTTTGTCTCAAACTTGAGTACATGGCCTACTTTTAAAAGATACCGCAACCATGATACTACATGGCGGTGATGATTTGTTTAACTTAAAAAAAAAGGCAATTTTTTTATTATAAATAGGTAAATGTACTGGCAACCTGACAACCATTTCCCCACTCGTCACCTCGACCGTCACCACCCTGGTGACTTTGACCCCTCCTCCAGCTCTCGATTCCTGTAGTTGGGTGTGGTGCCTGTTCCTGTTGCTTCTCCCGTTGTCTGCTGTCGTCACGTACAGCGTGTAAGTCTTGAGTTTGAGAATTTTGAAGATCAGCGATGTAAAAATAAATACTGCAGCCCCGCAACGCATCGTCCCACGCAAGGGTGGCTGTTGAATTCAAGTTGAGAAGTACTGCGTTTTTATGTTTCCTTAAGTGGCTTAGAGTGCTGTCCGGTGTATTATTTGGTGTTTCCACCCTCTTGCCAGGTACAAATACAGTTTTCCGTCTCCTGTAACTTCCAAGACGTCAAACAATGTCGATGAAGACTCTGCAGATCCACTCTCCGACACTGTCTTGAGGTATGAAGAGCTACCGGTAGTCATCCCGTTGACAAATTCGCGTTACGCAAGCAATGCAGAGGACGTAACTGGGACGCACGGGGCCGGAGACGCGGCGAGCGGACAGTTAAACCCCGAGGAGGCAGACGAATTCAGCCCCGAGGCAGAGACTGAAGAGGCTGCAAAAATTCTCGGGGGAAAAGTTGATACCAAAGATGTGGACTGTTCTTCTGCCTCCTGAAGGGAATTAGCAATTGGCTGATTTTGACTGTTCCAAACACCGAGCTGTTTGTTAAATATCAGTAGTATATTAACAGTTTTTTACCGTAGAGACGGGGGTACACAAATAGAACAATTGCTTCTTGGTTGCTAAAAGATGGATTTTGATGAGTTTGTTTTTTTCTTTGGGAATTGTATTCTTGACGTGAGAATATGCAGCATGATAACTCGTATAGATGTGATAGATTAACTTCAAGATTAAAATGGGATTTTTAAACAGCATTCTCCGATGTTTTACAAGTAATCGTGTAAAAGCTAATTTCTGTTGGGAAGTCCCTTAACTGTTTATTTGTTAGTCTTGTCCGTCGAAAATAATCTACTTAGTTGTAGGCCTACTTCAAACTATAATAAGGCACGCTGTATCTTTTTACGTAATAAACTCCTATCATGCATAGTGCGTAGGTCTGAGTACTTGAAACCTTGATTATTTTCCTGTTCCTAGCAGCAATGTTATGCAGCACTCCGACAACAGTTCTATCTAGTCTCTCTAAAGAAATTTAAAAAAAATGTGCTTCCGGTAGCAGTGGAATACGCTCAGTTTTTAAATTGTTTTGTTATGATATTAGTATATTGAAATAAAAGCTTACAACGACGTAAATCGAGATCAGAGTAAATGATCCAATTTCAGTGAATGAATTTGGCCTCCACAGGTTTTAAAAAAAAAGTTTCTTTGCTGTGATTGGTGCAAAGTAACCAAACACTCGATTGTGCGGTACTGCCTGGTCAATCTGATTGGTTGGCCGCAAACTTGAGACGGGTTGATTGACCACGTACCCAGCTCACCTGCGATGCCTCCGTACGTACATGCGTGCGCATCGCATCTTGTCTTTCAAACCATGCCAGAGTGACTGTGTGCTAGCTAGAGGCTAGGCACGTTGGTCGTCACAGCACGCGTTCACCATCAAGTGCCCACCTACTCATGTTTAAAAGCTCAATAATTCGGCAATATCTTGGAGGCACATTCTGGCAAATTATTTGGTAAGTAAAACTTAAGCTAGGCCCTGATTTTATTTTCCAGAAAGGTCCTTGGAACGTGACGTTACTGCTGGTTAGGCAGGAAAATTGAAGTGAAACATATTCTGTAACAGTAACTCATCAGCTTGTGAAGTTGTAATGTACATGTAGGCCCATAAACAAGTGACCTTGAAAATGATGTCGGCCCACTGTGGCATGTTTGTGCAAGCTAGCGAGAACTCATATATGAAGAATACTGATTTGCCCTTAAAATGCTATAACAGCTGTCCGAAAGTGAATGAATTTTAGCTATAAAGTTACGATGCATTTACGTCATGTACGTAGAAAACACAGGCCTAGTTTTTTTTTTCTAATGACCTAAGCTTGGGCACGTAGACTTGTTTGGTTTAACGCAGAGGGCGTACACTAGCTGGATAAAATGGAGGTAAGGCTTGATGAGCCTAATCAGGTATCTTCCTTTATGGGGTTGATATTCAGTGGCTTTGACTGATCTTATAATTACTCCCAGAGCCTTGAGTTACACTAGCTCAAGGGTGTGCCTCACAACTTTGGGAGTTGGCTGATCTGTAGGCTAAACTCAGAAGACAAACTTGGCAGTTTTTCGACATCTTTTTCACTCACTGCGAAGTCACCACTGCACAAATAACTCAGTTTACGAAACGTGAACAAAAGCGAACAGCCCGCAAGCCACATTTTTGCGTGTCGTGTCAACTTATAGCTGATCAAATTTTTCATTTTATCTACCATGTCTATGTATCTCATGGACATAATGGGAGGGAAAGGATAGGAAAGAAAAAATGGAAGGAAAATAATGACAGAAAATTGAAGATACGTACTGCACTTTGAAGAACATGATTGGGTGTTATCATTAGCATAAGTGGTTGGCAGTGCTCCAAATCGTTTGTGTAATTATTTACCATATCAACCTCTGCCCCACTGCTGGGAAAAACCAGACATTTTTCTGTGCCTACACACTGTACGCTTTCATCTGCACCAATAGGGAACTGGCTTTGAATGATAAAAGTCTGTTATCGGGGAGTGTCTCAGTGTCATAAAAGGCCTGTGCTTTGACTGATCACTAACCACAGATCTATTGTGGTTACAAGGAAATAAAATAGTTCAGTAAAAATACAAGCATACATTGAATTTGTGCTGTTCTGGATGAACTGTATGGAAAACTACATTCTCAGTTTCCGGGTATTTTTGTTGGTTTATTTGACTGGTTGGTTGTAACAACGACCGCACCAACAGTTCCTCATTAATTGTTGGAATTACACGTACTGTATTTTTTCCCAATTGTAGTGCTAGCCCCGTTATAATTGTGGATTTTATGTGATTATTTGAATGATGTGAAGAAGTGAACGCTGGTGATTTGGGCCCTAAACTGCTGTCCTGATCGCTTTGGGAGAAGAGGTATGTTTAACCAACAAGCGAGCTTCAAAATTCAAAGTCCACGATGTCCGCATACAATGTTCCCTGCCTGGCAGTGCCTGCAGAGAAGGTTTGCCGAGACATCGAATGTAGCAGCCCACCACCACCGCTGCCAGCACCACCACCAAAGTGTAATGTATACTGACATTTTTTTCTGTACAATTTGTTGGTGCTTAGCTTTTTGAGTGGTTAACTTCGTGTTTTCTCGTGGTGAAAACAAGATATATTTTAGCACCATTTCATAAATCATATATTTAACAGAGAAACATTTTTAATTACTCCCATTTCTAGGCATGGTGGAGTGCCCATCCTGGTTGTGGTATCTTTTCCTGCTATTAGTTCCCGTTGTTATAGCCAGCGTGTGTGCAATACTGTAAGTCTTGTGTTGGCTAATCTTAGCCACAATGCTGCCAAGATTGAACTTGGAAAGCATTAGTTTATGTATTGGTTTCTGGTCAAATTTCCAAGGTTTGGGCTTGTCTGCTTGTTGTTGAGGGGGGCAGATTTGCATTGCAGCCAGTAACCATGTACTTGATTAATATGTGTGGTTACTTTAAGCTAATTAACTTCCTTCAGTCAGTTTGGGGCTGCATCTTCTACCGTCAATTCACTTCCAACTTCTTTTCGAACAATTCTTACAAGCTTTTCTAGGGAGCATTTCATTATTTATCTGAAAGAATATTATCTAAGTAAATAAAAAGATTTTGTTGGTAGCAAGTCCAACTTTACACATGTCAACAAGACACAGGACACTTATGATTGCGTTCTCTTTTATAATTCATATATCTGGTATCTTTGTTCTTTTTGTATCATTGACAACTATCAGTTTAATAGTCTATGTACCTATTTATGTATTAAGTCTATTTAATGTGAAACACTATGTTAATCAACTGCATCACTGAACAGCAGTCTGGGTGCTCCGTTACCGGAGGATTCTGTCTCCTCTGGATGTCACCCCCATTTTGCACCTACTTTTTTTTTTACATGTAACAAGTTATAACTTAACCCTAACCCTCCTCAATCCTTCACGTGTTGGAGGATTGAGGAGGGTTAGGGTTAAAGAACTTACCAATATACTTTATCAATGTAATTTTGTGATTGTTACAAAATGGAAATAAAACGCCAAACCAAACTGTATGACCGATTTTATGCGCAAGTCGTAATTTAGTAGTCAAGTTGCATAAATATTAATTTCTGTGTTAAGGAATACTTTGTGTTCGGCTGGTGGTGCCAACCAGGTCATTGTGAAAATTATATCGACATTCCGTCTGTCTGTCAATTCTCTCCTTCCCCCCTCATTACTAACACATTGAGATGCTGTCTTTCTATTCTTAGGTATCGCAGGAGAAGACGGCCGGGAAAGAGTGACGATGTTGGTTCGGGTTCATGCGCTCGCTATCCTCCCGTTGCTCAATCTAAAAGGTGAGCGGCTTTACGTGTGATCACGCTGGTGTCTGTCACTCGTACACAAATGACAAAGATCCACCATGCCTCATTTGCTGGAAAATGGAGGCGAAGTCTTATCTTCACGGGTCCAACATGATGACAGCTTTGTTGATGTCAATTTTCTGAGTATTTGCTGGCCCCCCAAAAAATATTGTATTAACCTCGATCTTAGATTATCTCTGGAAATATAATTTGTCGATCAAAGGTAAATATTCTTCCATATTAAGGGAAATAATGGGGATTGTACAATTCGATTGAAACGTGTTAACGAAGGATTTTGCTACGACCTATGAATTCATTATTTTACTGGCCCAATGAACTAATCTTCAGGCATAGATTTCAGAGTACGTATCCCACAGTGCGTTTCATTTGTATTATTTTTTGTAGTAAGAAATATAGTTTCAACTTCCTGGCGTCACGCCCCAAATCAAAGGGAAAACCAGATGAAGAGAGAGTGGCTGGGGAAGACCCACATCGTGAGACCAATGCCAGAGCCTCTCAAGAGCAGTCGGGTCCTTCAGGGGCCACGGCTACCACTAGCAGTCCACAGCGCTCGTCGCACACCACAGAGAATGAAAGGAAGAGGTCTGGAAGCAAGACTGGAAAGGTAAGTCCGGAGGGAGAGGTCACGAGCAGGCCAGCCAGTGCCACCAACAATGCCCGAGTAAGGTCTCAGCCGCAAGGACCCAGCGAGAATGGTGCAAAGGCGAGCAACATGAAACAGGGTGCGGCAGAAACCCCAAAGTTGAAGAAAGTGCCCAATGAGAAGAGGGAATTAAACAACGCCAGCAGAAAGGCACCAGCTGCCAGTAACGTCAAACCAAGCGAGGCCAAACCCCCCGACTTAAAGAAAGTGCCCGACGAGAAGAGGGAATTGAACAACAGCAGCAGAAAGGCACCAGCTGCCAGTAATGTCAAACCAAGCGAGGCCAACCCCCCCGACTTAAAGAAAGTGCCCGACGAGAAGAGGGAATGGAACAACAGCAGCAGAAAGGCACCAGCTGCAAAGAAGTAGACTCTCATCCTTTCCCCAGAAAGGAAAATTGCACCCCCCACCCCAAGTGCATGCATTAACTGAGATTATGGAGCGCAAACCAAAAACAATGAAGGAAAGAAAATGGGGGGGGCGGGGCAGCATCAGCGTATCAAGAACCCCCCAAATTTTGGGCCATCAAAGGAATGATACGACACGTTGAAAGAATTGTGGGCGATATAATCAACTGTGGGGAAGATACATTTTGGGAAAGCAAAATGCACAGTAGAATTTTGGGAAATAAAGCCAACTTGTGCCTGGATCACTTTCATGGTGAACTTGGGAGAAAAAAAAGGAAAACAGAGGGCAGCTGAAAACAAAGTTTTTAGGTACAGGCAGGTAGATTTTTTTTCTGGAGAAGTTATGTAACTGATTTATGTGGACAGGGCGGGATGATTACTTATGTTTGGATGATTGCATGTCCTTTTGTCTCATAAGTTTACATAATTGTATGCTAGATGCACTTTGATCATTTCTGTACATAAGTGCCCTACGTTTTGACAGAGAAGGGGCTTGGTAGACACCAGACCACCACGCTGCCATGCTCCCTTGCAAAATCCTCCTGGGTCTTCACACCTACAGCTTGTGCGTACTTTGTTCCGTGAGTGCATGAAGGATGTGTGAAGGCACATGGGTGGTCTGTCTCAATACAGTACAGCGCCCCCTATTGTCCATGCGCCAGGAGTCCACAGAGGTTGAAAAACCTGAAATGCCTTGTAAATTGCAGATTTTGGCTCTTTTTACAGCTAGCTCCAAGCAGACGCATTGTGAATTTCATGTACTCACACTAAATGACATTTAATTGTTTCATGCAGACAATCTTATTACATGCAGCGTTATTCTAATCAGTCATTTCATGTTTGGCACAGAATGATGCGGTGTGGTGTCGTGATTGCCTATGAACTTTATGCGCATCCATATTGCACCAGATGAGTGTGGTTATTCCGTGCATTCCTTTGTTTCTCATGGTAGAAGTAGACTTCTAATTGTTCTGGCTTTTTCTGAAAGGACACAGAAACTTAAAACAATATCATGTTATGTTATTTCTGTCTCATTCAGTTAGTATAGTGATACCAGCTTGGTGTGTAAAACATCCAACTCATTTTTGGAATATATTTCTGTGGTATTAGATACTCGGTATAATTCTATATATGTATACACATGTACCTTATGTAAATAATTATTTCAAACATGTAAACCGGTGTATGAGATATTCTGTACATTTGCAGTGGAGTGATTGTTAACCAGGGGCCTTTTCATTTTCAAATTGATGTGAAATTCTTCTGAACAATTTGACTGTTGTTAGCCATAAAAGGGGAATCGATAAATGAAATGCAGGGTATTTATTTTTGTGCTCAAAACTAGATATTCTAACTGATTTTATGATTATTCCACATTGAACACACATTTAAATTTACAGACACAACTGACCTTGACTGTGGCATATTGCTCAGACGTTGAAAAGAATAAAATCTTAGAATTACTTTCCTTCCTCACAAAACCACAATCAGTTTTATCTATTATCAATAAAAAAAGGAAGTATTTTTTAGCAAGCTGATCTACAGCATGAAATAGAAGGGGTAAAATCTGTTATCTTTGCAATACATTGTATATAACATTGACCCCAGTAGCCTTTGCTATTTTTATGCTGGTTGGGATTTCCATGCATAAAGGTGTGGCTATGATTACTAATGCTCAAAATATGCACGCCTGGCGTGTGGCCACAAATGTCTTTATTTGGACGTGGCATTCAGGGAGAATGCATTTCTGACGTTGACTGTGACACAGATGACATGTGAGTGGCAGTGGCTTCCCACCTGCCCCTGGCAAACAGTAGTCTGGAACCACCCCCTGAATTGGTGTGATTTATACATGTATACACATTTTCAGTACACAAAATCAGCAGTAGGCCTTTGTGTACTTCCGTCTCAACAAAGGTCATGCCAGGCGCACAGATATGGAGGCTGATAAGAGCCCTTCAAATCAGGCAATTTATTTGGTATTTTTCTGACAACAAAAAGAAAAGAGGCTTAGTATGCTGATATGGAGGGGCCGAAGCAAGGTTCCTGGTCAAACTGGAAGGACGGGGTACCATCCAGTATATCTCCACAGATTAAGAGGCTAAGTGTATCGGGTCAGGAAGGTGCTTGCCTGTTGCCTGTCCGTCAACGTTGTATTCGTCTGGGTTCTGAAAAGTAATCTCCTGGTGGCCTACATAAATTTCTTGGGAGTAGTGAGAGGGTGCCCTTTGCTTCCACAACGTAGTTTGCTGAAAATATCGATCAAACTTAAAGTTTAAAAGAGGAAGACTTTGCACCCAAAATTCGTGGATGGTCTCCCTTGTGTATATTGAATGAGCTGCATGTAAGCTGGCTTAACACATGTCCATGATTTTATATCTTTGGCACTCCCCTGGAGGAGAAACGAAGAGGTCAAAAACAAATTTTGGGACCCGCTGCTTAAGCAGCCACTTCACAATTAATTCCGGAAGCTGTTTACACAAATCACAGCTCAGCTCCCTATTTGAAAGGGCTCAAAGTTTAAATATGAAACAAGTTGCAGTCAGAAATGATAACCTGCGACTTCTGGAGACCATCAGAAAAAAAACACCGAGCAACGAGGGGTACCGGACCGCGTCAGACCAGCCTCTTGTAGACAACAGTCCATTTGTTGACCATTACCTCCTTTGATCATACAAAATATGCATTTACAAGTACCAGGGTCTCCAGGCAGAAACACCTGTCCAGCTATTGGTAGACCAACAGCTGCTGTGCTTGTATTTTTTGGCCACTGTTTCCTTTTAATCCATCAACAGGCACAAATTCTACAAACGCACCGACACCGGTAAACTCAAAACAATCTTGGAAACTCGTACATACTTTTCTCCCCCATTGTACATTTTATTGACAGTTTCTTATTTGAACAGAAAAAAACAATTCAGTAAAACATAATAAATGTTTACATGCAATTAAGTTGCCCTTTTTTTTCCATTCATGATTGGGGAACTAAAATTGACCCTTTTTTTCACATAAAACATCCGTTCAGCACTTACTAGCACAAGTTAATAAGGCAAACACAGAAGACACTTATTTTTTTGTGTTGTTTTTCCACTTAATATTTTTTAACAACATAAACAAGATTTTGGTGTCATCTGTCAGCAAGACCCGATTTCAGGGTCATAGGTAAATATGTTGTTTACAAGTAATTTGCTGGAACCAGATATGACAAATACGCTCCACTCACAAAATCCTAGCCGTTTTATGGCTGTTTCATGTAAGGCAAAATATTTCTGCTTTTAACATTTTCAAACGCTAAAAATGGAACAGGTGAACAAGTCCACTTCACACCCAGTTCAACATTTGGCAGGTACCAGAAATCAACACAAATGACAAATTACTCGGTCTGCAGCTAGATTTTGGTACCTGACATAAACAAGGATAGTACCTGTGCAAAGCCTATTGGAGGTTTTTAATAGACTTAGAATTCAATTCTAAATCAGTCAATTTTGACACACATTTTCCTCCCCCTTTTGTTCCACTTATCCCTTTGCTTACGCAAAAAGTTTCTCAGTAAGTGTCAATTTAGAGGAAGTCTGAAGCAACATGCCATGCTCGGCTTAAACAAATTTGTGCGCTTAGCAGCCCTGTCATTTCTGTAAGCAACCTGTGCCAATTTACAAGTATTCAGACCTTGTTAATCACTGTATGGCCCAGAGGCCATTGGTACTAAAACAGCAGACCTAATCCCTCTGTACAGTAATGACCACAAAATACTCTTGAATGACTGGAGCCAAAGAAAAACAAAACAAACGAACCAAGTTAATTATTAAAAATTAGTTTTCATTTACATATGTACTACACTCCCATTGGAGCCATTTGTGTATTGTCTTTTCACAACAATGCTCCAGTGGTTCAAGTGTTTTTAAGTTTGTCCTGAAAGTACATAGTTATAACATAAGGCTACATATTCATTTACACACATGTAATCAGTCCACTTGAAAACTTACATAGTTACATTGTTGTAAGCCTGGCAAAGGACATGCACATATGCATTATTTGTAACAATTCTCGATAATGAAACGGCCCGAGAACTTCTTATACCTGAAGAGAGAACATTTCTGCTGTCTCTCCCCCCAAAACGTCCATGTTTTTTTACCTGATGCTCAACTCAAAGGATTATGCACAATCACAAGCCAGACTGGTAACACGTTTAATGTGCTTCCGTTTCACTAACAGGTGGAGTTGTTAACTGGCATTTAGCACTGGACCGTACCACTTCAAAAAAATTTGCCAACAAAAATCAGAGGAAGAACGTGTGAACAGAAAATATGTGAACACTTCAGGCCTATTACATAATGAGAGCACCTGTAAAAAAAAAAACAAAAAAAAACTCTTGTTTTAAAATTCTTACACTTTCAGTCTTGTACCAACATGAACCTTTATTCTGTGGAACTCATAAAGTGCTACTTCGTGACTTTCCAACAATGACGTTCAAAATCCCTCTGAACTGTTTCAATAAGGTTGGAAACAGATCAACAAATTCCTGCCACTTCACAAGACGAAAAAATATATCACAACAAAAAAATGTTAAAAATTCTTCAAATAAGCTAAAAAGCTGTAACACAAATAAAGGAGAAAATGTGAAGTGTTTGTGTAGCACATAAATTCATTATGCCCAAAATATCTATGTCAGTGGACCCAATCTGGAGAAACTTGAGTACAACTTTTTTTAAAAGCTGAGTTCGTCAGAGGCATTATTTGGAATAAATTATTTCTCTAAACATCCATTTAATTACCGTTATCTCCACATACATGTACTTCCAATTGTAAGCCCATACTATCACACACTCAGCTAGGACACAGTACACATTTTAATCCATTGTTTTTATACTTATTTACAGTCAACAGAATTATGGGAAAATGTACAAAAATGTTACCGCTGCTACCAGGTGTTACACTCGATCTACTTTTACCAACAAAAGATCTTCTCAACTACAAATCTGTCAATAGTATGTTTTCTTCCTTTGTTATTAAGATTCAAGAACATATATTGACCATTTGTTACACATGTACGCATTTAAGTTTTAGTAACTTTTAAACTAATAGAAACATTACAGTCTTATTTTCCTTCACTGTCATTTCTCAACTTCAAGCAAATACCAAAAGGCAAATATATAAAAGCTGGTGAGCTTACAATAATAGCTACTTTTCTGCTATATTCAAGCAAGCATCCTTGCCGGTTACAACCCACATATACTTGCTTCCATGAGGCAGATCTATATACGTGTATTTCTTTAAAGCTCAAATAGTGATTGATTGGGGAAAGGCTTCATGGCTCAACAGGAGTCCACACAAGAACGACAGTTGATCTCTCCAAGCGAATACAAGCGGGCTTTGACACAACTGAAACTTCGCCCGCTGAACCAGATGAACTCTTCAGTTCAAAACGACCAACTGCTACGGTTTCATAGATCTTCTCTTCACATCAGCACTGGTCAGTCAGCTTAGCAAATCAATTATAAATTCTCTTGTAAATAATTCTCCTGAGGAGCCAATGAAACAATGGTCTGCTTTATAACTATAAATCAAACTTTGGGTCACAATGTATCTGTAACCTATTGACTTGTTCTGACATTATTCAAGAAAAGCTAACTGGCTGTGGTGTGACAGATTTCCCAAGGTTAACAGGCCTTTTGCATTCCATTATTGGTTGCTGAATAATTTCAAGTTCCATGTTGTCTTCTTTTGGGGAGGGGGAGATCTCACTAGACTTGGCAAGATGTATATGGACTCAAATTGGAAAGCTGGATTTGGAATGTCAGAAGGATGTGAATTATTTTCTCAATTCTCACTAACAACCGAGCACGTCTCATTCGGGTTGATGAGCTGGGCATCAGTGTTGTATTAGAGTCCATCACAAGTCCCTTCACAAGGCCAGTCATAACTAACAGGGTAAACAATGACAGAAGAATGCTCGTCACAGCTCATTTGAATAGCTTGTGAATTGGCTTAAGACTGAACAACTTGTGATGGACTTGTGAAGGACTCGAACACAGCACTGCAGGGATAAGACATATTGCAACCATTCTCAGCACACTAGTTTAGGTCAAACATCTCCAGACATGACATATGGCTTGTACTGAATCCAAGTTTCATGAGAGCTGAAAGTTGCACGAGTCTTGCCAACTGAGAAAGTGGACATGATTACAAACAGACAAATTTGCCATGCAGTTACTTCCTGCTCACTGCTGTGTAAGTTTTCCCCGAAACCTGAAAACTGAATTTAAAGAAGACATCAATTTGTGAATAATTAAAAAACATACTACACTGCCTACTTTTTTTCACATATTTAACTTCTTTCCTCCTTTACATTCAAACTCCTTGAGTAATCCTCTTTTTTTTTAGTTATATAGTTCGGTATATAAACCCAATACATGTTAATGTCTAGAAAAGTATTCGTTTGTGAAACCAAGAATGCAAAAGCAAAAATACAAAACGCTTTCTCATCAACCATTTACATTGAAAGAAGGCAACTCTTAACAATTGATTGACAGCGGATCTTTCAACAAAGACTCCAAATAAACATTTAACCATCACATTACAGGGAAATACTACAACATTCAAGATGACTTCCTTGTGTCTGCTCTTGTACAAGCAAGTCACAACTGTGCAAGAGAAAGAAATGTCCAAAAATACTGTAACAAGCTGACGTCACTCTCAAACAGGCGGGGGCGGTGGAGGAGGGGGCAGGTCCTCCCTTGGGGGAGGTGGAGGAGGGGGTGGATGGTCATTGGATGATTGGTTGAAGGAGTACGGGTACCCAAAGCCCTCGGATGATGGTAACGCAGTCACTGTTGTCAGGGGTGCGTGGTGAGAGAAGTCGTGTGTACTGTAGAACTGGCCTGTGGAAGCGGCGTTGTGACCGTCATAACCGGTGTATCCGGAAGCAAGATCCATTGGCGGCATGGGCAGACTCAGCAAGGACTGGTCGCTGGGCAGGAGGGATTTGGGATGCGGGCGGCTCTCCCTGCCGTGTGCTCTTTTCTTCGCTGGCGAGGATGCGGCGGGGGATGGGTCCCTCCCTCCCGAAGACACCGAGTCGGATCGACTGTGCGACCTCTTTCTCTTGTGAGATTTGTGGCTGCCATCGTCACCCCGTAGGTGACTCCTCGATTTGTGGTGGTGCTTGTGGTGTTTGTGGTGGTGGTGGCGGCGATGACCGCTGGACTTGTCAGACCCTTGTTCTGCTTCTGGACAGTAGTCCGAATTGGTGTAGGCTGCCTGCCCTTTGGACAGACTCAGCTTCATCACCAACCCCGGCGAGCTGGTCTGCCTGCTGGTCTCGGGCGACGACTCTTTTTGGCCGTCCCGCTGTTCATTGAGTTGGACAAACCTTTAATCTTCAGCCTGATGCCGCTCGAGGTAGTCAGGATGGACGAATGAGGCTGCGTGTCCTCGGCCTCCTCAGTAGCACTGGCCTGGGGCTGGACTGAGCTTTGCAAGCCCTCTGCCTCTGCACGGGACCTCTTCCTGTGGTCTGAGGAATGGCGATGTTTGTGAGGTGAGTCTCTCGACCTGTGAGCCTCACTTCGCTTCTTTCTGTGGTGGCTTTCCTTTTCCCTGTAACTCTTAGGGAGACAGCTCTCATCTCTTTCCCGTTTCCGTTCCCTGGGTTCAGAGGTGTGGGCTGGGGGCACAGTGGGCTTCAGGTCCAAAATTGGAGGAGGCTCATGACACTGGTATTTGGATTGCTCTGCCATGTGTGCATTAATCAGTTTATCAATGTCAGCATCGACAGACTCACTGTCAGCCATTTCATCAGATACTCCAGGTTTTAGTACTTCGAGAGGCTTTGCAGGTTCCCACACAACATTTAGCAAGGAAGCTTTGCCAGGATCGACTTTGGCTTTGGGTGCTTCGACAATCTTTGGTGGCTTGGGCACTTGTTCAGCTGCAACACCAGGTGACCCCCGAGACCTTGGAGTTGTTGATTTCTGAGATTTTGGTGTTTGCGGCTTGGACTGCTGGTCTGTCTTTTGGGGAGTCACTGTTTCTGCCTTTTGGGGTTTGGCTTTCTCGGGACTCTCTGAGGTAATTGTCCCTGGCTTTGATTTGGCCACTGTAACTTTCTCAGATGAGTGTGCAATGGGCTTGGCTGGCACAGGCGCTTCTGGTTTTGAAGCCGGAGGCATCGGGGGCTTTCTGTGGGTTGCTGGCTTTGGTGGCGCAACTACATCCGGGGTTTCCAGCTTGACACAGACCTGGCCTTGCACAGTTGGAATGGAAATCTTCTGGGACTTGGCCAACAGCTTTGTTGAGGTCATGCCACTGTCCTTATCCAACAGTGATCTATCCTGATTAACCTGAGGGATTTGTGACTTTGGTGTTGAAAGTCTTTGTGTTTGTCCCTGTCCTTGTTTAATGCTCTGCTTTTTTAGTGTTTCTGGTCTAAGAGGCTGGGACAGTGGTATCACCTTTTGTGCCCTTGTAACATCCGATTTTTCTGCCCCTGTTTGCAATGCTGGAGTCCCCGGCTCAGTCTTTACTGCCCTTAGCTGTTGAGGCTTCTGAGCGTGATGTACTTCTGCCTCCTTACTTCTCGACATGTCAGAAGTTAGCTGTTTCACATTCTCCACTTTCTGTGTAACAGTGTGAGTCTCAGTTCGTGGTAACCTTGACTCTTCGGTTTTATGGGACTTGGATAGCAGATCAGATTTAAGCGATTTAGGAGCCTCAGTCTTAGAGACCCCAGCACTCTTTGTACCAGACACTTCCTTTTTACTCAACATTACAGTGTCAGATCTATGCAAAAACATGCCCTCGGTCTTTACCACCTCTGACGGCTCATGTTTAACAGACACCGATGCCACTCTTCTGTCAACCTTGGCCAATTCTGGTTGTTGTATCAACACTCGTTCGGGTCTCTGGGGTTTTGGAAGCTCCTGGTCAATTGGCTGTGGCAGTTCTGCTCTCTGAGTCTCCACGGCTGATCGCTGCTCTTTCTTGACATCAACAGGGACCAGGGGTGGAATAGCTGGCTGTGTCCTCTCCTTCTCAGCTGGGGTGCCTTTGGGAGTCTCTGATCTCTGTGGTTTAAGCGATTGAGACTTCGGAATTCGAAGTGTCTCGGCCGATGGTGTCCTGTGCTTCTCAGATTTCACATTTCCTTGGTTTTCGGGCCGCTGAGATCTGTACATTTCAGATTTCGACAGTCTTAGCATCTCTGCATGGGCCTTGCCTGGTAGATCTGAGGTTGGGAGTTTTTCCAAACTGTGTGCATTTGGAGTTTCTGTGTGATGGGGCCTTTGGGATACAGGAAGATGTGGTTTGGGTGGTGGGGCAGAACTGGGTAACCTGGTATTGTTTTCTGGCAGTCTGGGGTTAGCACCATGATCTCTACTCTCGAAGCCATTTCTCTTGTGTTCCTTTCCCTGCACACTTGAACCCGAATGCTGCTTCCTGTCTGATGAGCCACTTGGAAGCGAGTGGCGGCTGTGTTTGTGATACTGGTCTGTGCTCTTGGAGTACCTGGAGTCTGAGACGTTAGCACCTTGGCTGGGTTGACTGCCCGGATCATGAGGCCTGTGCTGCGAATGCGGTCTTTGGTCTCTGTTTGGTCTGAGGTCTGTTGGTCTTCCAGAACTCTTGGCCTGAGAGTGGCCACCCGACTGTTCTTGGCGATCGCCAGGGGGCTTCTCTGCTCTCCTGAGATCTGGGGGCATATGTCTGTCTTCTGGCCTGTGTTTCTGACCTCCTTGACTATGGTAACCTTCCCCCCGATATCGTTGGTCAGCGTGAGGAAGGTCCGTGCCTCCCTTGGAGAAGTGGCTAGTTTGATGCGACATAGTACTTGGCCTAGAGGCAGTTTGACTGGGTCTAGGTTGAGCCATCTCCCTACTCTGCTGCACGTTCTTCACCCGCTCGCGTTCCTTCTGCTCCCAGTACTCTTTCAAAGACTTCTTAACGGGATGCCCTAGTTGATCACCTGGCTTCCCAGGCTCGGCATCAGGCTGCGTGCTGGGCTGACCATGCCTGGGCTTGTAACCTGTGCTGCTCATGTACTCGGTATCGAGGGAGAACATGGAGGTCTCCATCATGGGCAGGCCCATGTTGACATCCTGCAAGGCCAGCCCCTCCCCCTCGCCGTGGGAGGCCTCCTGGGAGGAGAAGCTATCGCCCTGGCTCGAGGCGGGCAGATCCTGGGTGCTGATGGAGCTCTCCGAATTGCCGCTGCCTGGCAGCCCACTGTCAATGGAGGAGACCGAGGCTGCAGAGGATGGTATGTGCTTGGCAGTGCTGGCTGAGTCAATCTCGGAGGTGCCTTCCTTAGGGCGTCTCTTGGACTGAATGGGAAAAGTGCCAGAAAGGAAACTTATGTACATATCATGATGAATTTCGTAAGGGCAGAAATGTTACACAGTGTACTGAACATTAGTAACAGGCACATAGGTGGTGCGTACGCATTGAATACCTCCAACAAATAGCATGTTGTAACGTGTGAATTAACGTGTGATGGCATCTGCATAGTTTTGTCCATGCCACACTTGTCTCGCTTACAAAATAGTGTCCTATATTCTGGCAATCATGCATGTAAAAACAACTACAGAACTAGACCGAGAGCCTACAGTACATAGAGGGCGCTAGTAGCATGTACATACACAGTAGTTAAAAATTACAGCAAAGTAAAAAGGGAGTGTATCCTGCATGTTGTCATGCTATTATGAAATTCAGCGACAGACTTTGATAATATTAGCACAAACTTCTTCAGGAATCATGGTTTATATAGCAAGCTGATACTGCAGCTTTTGTTGTTGTTTTTTAGGGGGAGGCCACACTTGCTCACAATGTGGACCTGCTCACTTTTTGGACCCATGCTGGTTGCTATTTGGGGGCAGATTACATCAAGCCATTTTCTCATCAAAATGGTGTTTGTTCGATCCAAAGCACATGTGCGTGGACCGAATGTCCAAAGGGATATGTGAAAGTACTAAACGCAATTTGATGTTGAGGTTTTTCCTCTGGTTTTTTTGGTGCTTATGACAGGTAAACTGCAAGACTTTGTTCTTGCATTTTAACTCGGCACAGCACACTGTATGTCTCTGGCCAAAAGCTGACAATTAAAAAGAAAAAGGGTTAGCTTTGTCCAAACACGCGTTCAGGCCTAATTTCATGCAATGAACCATCACGACTGTAGCCCACATCCAATGAGTAATTTTTAACTAAGGGAAATGCAACTGACACAATGAGCAGACACTTACTGCCACTTGTTCCTTTGAGATTCTTCGCCTCAGTCGACTTGGGCAAGCCTCAAAGATTCTCAGAAATTCCTGCGTGAGCTCTTAAATTACACAAGCAAAGGAGGGGGGTAGGGAAGACAAAATGCCATTTTTTTTAGAAAGTCCAGAACTTTTCCAATGAAACAAGACTACTGGTAAATGCAAGGGCAAAATAACTTTTACTCATTGGTAATGGAAATACAGTCAAACCTCAATACGAAGAGCACTGTTAACCCTAACCCTCCTCAGTCCTTCAACAGGTGAAGGATTGAGGAGGGTTAGGGTTAATAAAAGGTTCCTGTCATAACGAGGACAAAGTTTAGGTCCCGAGTCTTTGTTTTTCTGTTTTCCACTCCTGATGATACAAGGTTCCTGTTAAAACAAGGTTATTTGTAAAGCTCCCTTATTAACGAGGTTCAACTGTACTTCACAGTAAAGAGGTGGATTGAGACGGCCGGGGATTGTCCCATTTGGGCCGATCTGGATTGAGCAGGATCTCATCAAGACTCACCATCCAGCAGCTCTTTGGTGACGGTCGGGTCCACATACTCCCACCAGTCTTTGCCATCACTGGACCTCATGATCTGCAAAGTAAGAGACACAACGTGAATCAGGCTCTGGAATGACAGTTGGCATCAGATTGTTTCTGATCCCAGCACATCCTGAAGGAGGTAAATTTCACAGACACTGTTCCATGGGAAAATCTGCTTTGTCGGATGAGACAATCAACCAGTGTTCCAGGCAGTGTTGTATTCGAGTCCATCACAAGTCATTCGGTCTTAAGCCAATTTACAAGCTATTCAAATGAGCTGTGACAAAAGCATTCTTTTGTAATTGTTCACCCTGTTACTTATGACTGGCCTTGTGAAGGGAGTCGTGATCGTTCAGTGAAGAAAAACAGGTAGATTTCCCTTGAACCAGTGTTGAAGGGAAATCTACCTGATTTTCTTTGCTGAACGATCACTTGCACGAGGAATATTTTTGCTCCTATTAAACATAGTAAATTGGCTGCTATTTATCAGGCTCTTGTGGAGTTCCATGATTCACTGACAGCATAAGCACCCTTTGTATTTACTTTCACTGAAAAGCAAGTGTCTGTGCACTTTTGAAGAATCAATAATGTCCACCATGAGAATAATATAACTGGAGTATTTCTCAATTATGTATCAATAAACGCCTGGGAGATTAAAAATCTAGTGAAGATTTTACAAAAAGTTGGTTCTTAGGACCCTCTTTCCTTCTCCATTTCTTGTTTAGGTTTAGATTTAGATTGATCTTGCAAAATGCCGGGTCTCAATTTGGTCGAGATTTCTGCTGAATGAGTCGGGGGATTTTCTGGCCCTCTTTGACAACCAGCACCTGCCAACACCTACCTCCCACTGAGACCACTTGGCAGCCAGATAGATACAGACGCACGCCACCACGGTCGGTTTGTACTGCAAACAGAAGGTGGTCAGGTGTAAACTGCAAATTCAAAACAGATCAAGCAGAAAGAAAGTGAATCGACCGCCGGGTTATTCCTCGCGCAACTTCGATTTACAAGCAATGCAGAGTATGCGGCTTACCATTGGATGGCTCTTTTTTCACAAACAGGCTCTCAGCAATTTTCACATTTTCTGGACCTACAGAATTTCAGTAAGGATCTTTGTGTGTACCCATTAACCCTAACAGTCCTCAATCCTCCAACAGGTGAAGGATTGAGGATTGTTAGGGTTAATGAGTGCATTTAGAAAGCTCCAAGCGCACTTCTGAATTCCCCATTACTACATGAGGCGACTGTGGCCCACATGCGGCTAGCGAATAGCTAGCGGAGACTGGGAGAGATTGTAAGCAAAATAAGAAGACCAGATTGGATGATGCAGATTTTTGTGTTTAATGACACTGTGAAGCTCTTGACAGGATAATCGAGCACCTCAAGATTTTGAAGTGAAAAACAGCTCAGAATGCTTTTTGGACTGTGATGCTTTGTCACATCCTGTTGCACAAATGACCAATTTAGCCCATTTGGGGGGGGGGGGCACAACTTTGTGCAGATGGAGGGTGATTTTTCGAGCTTTCATGTAGTGTTTTGTGTTTCTAATTTTCAGTCAATGGATTCATGGAAACTTAATTCGTTACATACAAGTATACAAGGCCTATTAAACTTACCTGGATGACTGGTAAATCCTATCTAATTATTTTACTTCACACTTTTACTAGGAAAAACAAATCACAACCCATTTATAGACTAAACTTTCAAAACGAAAGTTTATGCTGAATGGTCAAGCTCAAGCATATTTATCAGTTTATCTGCCACAACTTTTACTTTCTCGTGACCTTTTTTGTGAAGTTACAGCCCTGATGAGATCTCTTCTATGAAAAGCATGCAGCAATAATCACATCTTTTGAAAAGGTGTTCAAATCAAACAAATGTGAAAGTACGGCGGATGTTTAAAAACTAATATGGTAACATCTGGGGAGGGGAAGCCACATGATATTCAAGTGGTGGTAGGCGATGGATTTCTTGAAGCTCTCAATGACGAGTTTTGTGTTTTGCACTCGGGCATTATCTGGTGAAAAAAAGGTAATCTTTTTTGATTAGAAATCAATGGCTACGACGAGAAACGATTGGTTTTCGTTCTGCTGAATCACTTTATTATCTATCACTTGAGCAACTGCTCCTTACAGGATACACTGGTTGAGGGAAACAAGTGGGGTTTTTATGAGCGTTCACTAATCTTGAAGCCCCAGGTATAGCGAAGGCATTCACAAAGACAAAGGTAACTAACAAAAAGCACTTTTGATATCTTACTTCCATGTCATGCAATACACTGGCATATTTACCTTATGAGAGCAAGAGCGGTCCTTGCGTACGGTTTACGACAAACCTGCAGCCCTGGCTCCATGTAACTCTATTACACTGTGCATAAGTTCCCCATACATGTGAAATACACATCGACTTTAACCCTAACCCTCCAGCCTACTTTGGCTAGAAACCCTGCCAGACACATCAGTCTGCATCATTTGTCAAAGTGGCTTGCCTGCCCAGTGTAACAAGATCCAACAGTTCTACTCTCCCCACGGCCAAACAGTGTGTGCGGGTCTGTGGTTGCCAGTTACCACACTATCCAACAGTGGCATTGTTCAATAGGACTAGCTGCCATTGTCTCAACATAGCCAGTGTGTGCCACTGCTGTTGATTGCCAAGTGCATCAAAGTAAATCAAACTTTTCACCTGGTGCACTGTGCTGCATCTGGGAGGGTTAGGGTTAAGACCGGCATCAGTGGACAAATCTCCCCCAGGGCTCTCTGCAAGCACTCAGTCGATACATGCTATCGCATGGCTCCAAATGAGCCCAGTTGAGCGTGTAGATAATAACCGAGTCGACTTGGCCAAAGGAGTGCCCAACGGGGTAATTTAGCCCAATGATGCATGTCAGATGTGTTAAAATAGAAAAGACAGATAGAGAGGCAATGGGGGGCAGCCAACCTGTTGTTCGCCATGAAATAGGAGGTCTGGGCCAGGTCCTTGCTGGCTGCTTGCCCGGGGGACGGAAGGGCCAATTCCCCCAGGGTGAGAGACCGGAAGGCCGCAGCACATATCCCGTGGTCGCCACAAAACGGTGACACGGTGGCAAAGCCATGAGGAGGGACGGGGGGCAAACAGACGGCAGGTGATGAGGGGCGGAGGGGTCGGGGAGCAAAAGTGGGGGGAAACTCATTAGCATGATTTGGCTGGAAGTGCAAACATAACCAAGTCCGAGGCTGACGCGTTTGTGCCAGGCTACGTCCTTTTTGGCTTCTATTTTGTTTTATTTCCTTTTTTGGGGGGCACTTTTTCTTGCCAAAGGTATGTGCAACATGGAACAGAATACAATAGCCAGAGTAAATACCTCAGCCTAAGATTTATTCCCAATAGCTTCAGAATAAAAGCACTTTCAATTCTTACAAATACCGCAAGGACCAAATAACTTTGGAACTTTCTGCAGCATTTGTAAGAAGCCAATGACTAATTCATATCATTATCTAAATCTGCCAACACCTTATCGACAATGTTAGACTTTTCTCACAAAAGTTTACCAAATGATTCCCATAAGCTTAAAATTACTGTCAGACGACTTCGAAGCATACAACATAGTAACTTATGAGAAGTTAAGAATGCATCTAACGCTACGATAATCAGCAACACACACACACACTCAAATGCACACAATATTTTCTCCTAAAAAATCTGAGGGGAATAAAAAAGAAGGTGAGCTTTACAGAAATTTGAAACGTTTGAAAAGTGAAAGCACAATGGTAAGATTTAAAGGACCCGTTATTCACCAAACTGCACACAGTGCCCTGTCCAGGGGAAAAACAAACGTGTACTTTTAACTCACGTGAACCAAACGCAATCTTGAATCGACCTGAAATGCCATGTAAAAGAGAGGCATGAACTGATGTACAGTGGTTACATTATCACAACTCCAGCATATGTTCAAACACGTGTATTTAAGATGGTGGTCCGTGTCACATCTTTTCTTCGATTTTGCAACTGCTTTGAAACCTGCAAGCCTATTAACCACTTGCCGCCGGGGACTACGGTTTCGGGCACCGTGTGTGTATATGCGTGACCGGGGTCTCTGAAATTAGACGAAGGGAACTGGGCCTTGTAACAAAAGACGGTACTTGGAACAAAAGACTAGGCTGCTGGGCATTACCAACATTTTTTCACTCTCAATAGTGGAGATAATCCAGCCTTGTTTTGAAACAGTATACCACGGCTTAGGGCGAGCAGATTACCACTGGGGACAAAAGCGCTCCACCACCGCAGCGATGAGCCACACAGCACCACTGCACACTAATCTGGCCCCTATTGAAAAGAGGTCGGCAACGCACTGTGCCAGGTTCGTGAACAAAAGAACGTTACATAACACCACACAATCTGGGCTCTTTTAACAAGGCAGCAGGCCTGGCTGAAATACTCAGGCATCAATAGATTCCTATGATGCAAGATATGGGGCGGAGAGAGCCCCCCCCCACCGCCTTTGTGTTAGTCATTGTTTGATCAGAATCTCAGGAATTCTTTACAGACTTCTAGGGGGAATGTGTTAGGTAACAAAAGTCTAGAGTGTGTATAGAGATTGGACATGTGGGGGGGAGTGCCCATCTGCCCCATCTCGTACACGATATCAATAGATTTTGTCTGTCAGACTAGAGTAGCCACCAAACAGTAACTTGTGTGGGTGTAAACATCCATTAATTGAAATGATGAATTTTGAATAAGTCCCGGTTATGTGCACTGCATTTTTCAAACCACCCAGCAGCAAGTGGTTAAGTAGCATGTAGCCTGGAGAAACAAGGGGTCAAATTTTGAGGAAACTGGCGGTGAAGCAAGCGAATGGGGTTGCTGACCTTGCTTTTAGAGCCGAGTCAATTTGAATAATTCACTATTCGAATAATCGACCTTCAATTCAATCGAATATCTGAACATTCGGTCGTACCGACCAGCAGGTTGTTGAACAAACCTTATACAAAATCAGTTGCAATAACACACACAATTGTACATTATAATCACTATAATGGCTTCTCACGTCTAGGAGTATCTCCAGCCACAATTTAGCAAGTTTTAAGAGCGAACAGTACTTCTTGCCCTGTTGAAAATTTCTATTCCTTTTAAATAAAAAAAAATTTAACTTTTTGAATCATTGTAAGATTTGATTCTGCTCGAAACAAGCCTCCATAGTGCAACTTTTCTCATTTAAATCAAAGAAAACTACCTTTTCCTTTTTAGGAATTTTGCATTCGAATATGTAATTCAGAAAATAATATTTGAATATTTGATAATCGACAAAGCCCTACTTGCTTTCTGTTCATTCGTAACTATTTTGCCAACTTACTGCTTTATTGTTAAATAAATCCACTTCGAGCAAGCAGAGACTAAACTCTACACGGACAAGCAAAACAGCTGTCTATTTCTACTATATAAATTCTATCAAAATATGCCGAATGCTGTGCTGACTAGTCACTCCAGTTCAGGTGTGAATACAGTACGGTGGCACAACTGAATGAAACACAACACGCTGAGTTTCTTGTAAGGGTCTTTGCTCTCTAGTCCTTTTTTGTTAAGTTACAAAGTTCAGGCCACAACATTTATAGTAAATATGGTAAATATACATAACCTATTTGTTTGGACCATGACTCTTTTTTCATTTTTTTTTTTAAACTTGACTTTTGCTTCAACAAGTGAAAAGCCTAAAATACCACTGTTCAGTGTTAACATTTGCATGAAACAAATAATTAGGGGTGCCTAAAAAAAAGTGAAAATCAGAATTTCAAAGTGAAAGTATCTGACTCTCTTGAGTTGATTTCAAATTTGTTCTATGACGAGTTTTCAGAAAAAAGCCGACAAGAAAACTTATAGCTTTGCCTCATCCCCTGGACAGAGCACAACAGGGCAGAAATGGTCCGTTTGTTACCCCAAATAGCTGTCAAGCAAATGGTTTGTAACTTAAGTCAATGCCTCAAGACACAGTGACTGATGACTGAGTTACCCTACTGCAATTCACTCTTAGGAATGATGAAACTGAAGACCGCGTTTGACTATGTTTGAATAAAATCCAAACTACGCTTGGAAACTTTGGTCATACTTCTGATCAATTTCAACTACTGGGAGGTCGTTGAGGCTTTGACCAAATTCATCAAATACACCGACAATTTACAGTTGAGCAAATTACACGGCCTGAACACAATCTGATCACCAAGAATTCCATGTTTATTGTTTAAACATTTAAAACTAAAAACAAAATTCACATAGCCCTCATGAATAATTCATTCCTAAACACACCATTCATAGAATACCGGTGGTTCTGATTGGTTCACTGGCCATGAATCATTCACATATAAATATTCAAAGGGGGCTCCCTCTGTAGGATCTGCAAAGAAAGCACAGATGGCAGTTAATTTGGTGATGCTTAACTACTGATAAACTGAGGAATCACTCACCTCGAATCATCTGTGTACATTTAATAACATGGGTGTGAGGATGGTCGACGGCGACTTCAAAACCTTGGAAACAAACCAGAATGATGCTGAATCAAAACGGGACAGAGAGACTTCAATTTGATGGCAATGTCACAAGTTCGTGTGTATTCATTTACCACTGCGATTTTTTGAGCCCATGACAATAATTCCTCAGTAACAAAAAAAAAACAAAACAAAAATCAATGGATGACTTTGTATGGATCCCTAGTTTTTTCATGAAAGTAACTTTGGAAGTACAACATACACAGGTAATTAAAACGTGCTTTTCATCATTAGTATAATGTATCAAAATTCATCTACAGTGCAAACAAGATTTTTTTTACTTACTGATTTCGTTGACACATCATTTTAGAATACAGTTGCAGTCCTAAGTTTCGAGTATTCCTTTGGGTGTGTGCGCCCAGCAGGCTCCCCTTTCCACTGCGAGTTAGCGCTCTAGTTTTTTAATATACTAGCCGAGTCATTTTTCCTTAACAACGAGAAAAACCAGCAGGACTCACCTAATGTTTGTAACAGAATGCTTTCGTTTATGACTAATTCTTGTGCTTCTTGTTGATAAGCCTGGAAGAAAAAACCAAGAGAGACTTAGTCGATTTGCCTCGCTCCCAACTTTTCACTTGCACAAGAACACCTGTCTGAACACAGGTAGACACGGTCTGACACGCCAAGGTCACACTCAGCAAGTAAAAGCCTATATGACAGTGTTTGAAGGGTTGAGGCAGTGGTCACCCTTCCTGGGAGCACATTCAAGAGGTAACGGAATATTTCTGAGGATTGAGTTGTTATCTTATTTTTCCACTGAGGCAGTTGGAGGATTTTTAAGGACGGAGGCTCACTAAAAAGGGTATTGGGTTTGAGGTTGAAAAGAACTCCTCTTTCACTCACTTCGCTCTTCGTGTCCAAGACAGGACCTCCGCGATGTTGGCAGGCATGGTGGACTTTGATGACATATTCAAGCTTATGGGGTTGCTCTTCTACTTTGGCGGCAAGGAACAGCGCCGCTGCTGCAATTTTCTGTACAAATTGATATAACATATTTCACCGTTTTGTTAACCTTGCTGGAGGTTTTAAATCCGAAGTTGACTTGGCAAACTACATGTACACGTACATGCCTACGGGTTTCAGGATCTGTGGAAGACTTTTTGCAGGATTCCAGACCGTAGTCCAGCGAAGCCTTGTTACTTTTACTTGGACCTTACATATCCCACATTCATTTGATTCAAAAGAATCTGCCATTGGTTGACATGGATTACTGCTTTGGATATAGGATTCCGGAAGGTTCCTCATAAAACGTCCTTCAAAGTCTAACACAAACAAGAAGCTTTATCCTTGGTGCCGCCACTGTGGTTTTGTTTTATAGCTGTGAACTATTAAGGGGATCTCCCAGTACACAAAAAATATGTGTTACTGGCCCACGCCCAGGCTCAATTTGGGCAAATTTGAATAACTTTGCTAGAACGCAGCAGAGGTAAATGTTAGGGCTACATCGACACGCAGCAACTTTAGAACCTCAGACACTCACATTGTGGGGGAACCGCTGGAAGGAACGAAACACATAGAATCTGTGCATATATACAATGGCGGTGTTAATGCACAATTGATTTCTGGGGAAAGGCAGAGTTAAGGATGACACAAACTCACATAAATGTATCAGAGTGACATTTATGAGCCAGATAATGATTAAAAACAGAGCTATATACCATTTACTGTTATCACTCTTAGGTTATAATCTAATTTATTACCATGTCTATAACCCTAGGTCCACCGGAGAGCACAAGGTGATGAGAAAACTAGGAACCAACACTTACTATGCCAGAACCAGCCACCCAAATAACTCTCAAAACATGCTCAAAATTACTTGCTGACATCACTTATTTTTATGTGATCTCAATGAAGGTCAGTTGTTGTAAATATGTTGAATATAACAGACACCAATCTGAGACTTAAACACATTTGAAGTGTGATGTCACTGTTGTCACATGAATGTTGTCAACATTCATAAAATCTGTACACAAGCAAGGACAAGATATCTGCATTGCCCCATGTACAAATTTTCAGCTGTTTAGTGTAGTTACTTGTCTTAAAGTCAGATAATGCTGTATATGCAATACATTTGACAATTTCACAGCACATGCATGATGTAACACCAAAGCCATTCATTTCAATGCGAATGTGTTCATCATTTTCATGGAAGACTTCAGCATGCAGGTCTTGGCCTCCAAAGCAAAGTGTAAAATAATTCAGGTCATATCATGCATATTGTGAAACATTCTTATCTCCGAAACATGCTGAACACTAAATGAAATAAATAGTCTAAATAATCATGCTTAAGTAATGTTACATGTCACGATGTGCATCACGTTGTCGGCATGGTTAGTTGACTGAGCTGAGACAATGGCATAATGATCGGTGTCACGTTATAACAACCCCAATACTCAACATGCATCACTATGTCAATCACATTCTAAAACTGTCAAGACTTAGGATCAAACTTCTCTTTCTCGCGTAAGAGACATCTATGGGAAATTGACAATATTCGAACATGAATATATTTAAAATATATGTTTTTAAAGGGATTTAAAACGAGTTAAATGCCGGCAACTTCGCGGCCATGGCGGCAAAAGACAACGTGACGCCATGCCGCCAGGATGTTGGGAAATTTGAATAGAATAAGGATACACTTGAAGACGCCGTCCCATTTCCTGGATGAGGTTTGCGGCCTGTTGTCGGTAGGACAGTTCCTGCCTCGGTTCTATCTGACATTTTCGAGAAGGACTGTTTAACAAGACATCGCGAGTAAAATACCACCGCCGCTCGCGGTCGGGAATAGCCGCCATGGAACCCGTACCGACGACCAGACAGAGGTTCTGCGGCTGCGCAGAAGCCGTTTTCACACGAATTCACGCCGTATCTCGCGTAAAATCTCACACACAGATGCATCATGGGATTGAAAGTCGGGATTTTCGTCAGATGTCGTCAGACGATTTTCAATGAAACTTCGCCCCAGTTTGGTGATTTGACCGAATTCAAGCAGGTATTTTGCTAAAATTATTATCATACGTAGCAAGTAGACCGCAGTAGTCCTGAAGAAGTAGCATTTTGGAGTCATTTGAGAGGAGTAATCAATCAACGTATTTTATCGCTGTTAACCGCAAATGAAAAAGGTGGGAGCAACATGGCGTCGGTTTTTTCCCCAGAAATCATGAATATTCATCATTACAGTCTCACGTGCGCCGCGCTTAGTACATGTGATGAGTTAGATATTGCATATTACTGAAAATCGTGAAGCCTCGAGACACGTTCCTACCTCCATGCTCTAGATTATAGATTGTAAGCCTAGTAATGGTGTTATATATTAGGCCTGTAATCCAGGTTTAAATAAAGCTTGTTTCAATTAGTCAGTTATTTAAGCTAAGAGAAAATGGGGTTTAATTTTGTGTTATTCAGACAATTTTGTCATGTTCGTTTATAACTCAGACTAAACAGCTAAAGTCTGAATAGGGGTAAGTGTGGGTATACCCGATCGGGGGAGAACCCGATCAGCTGGGATTTTTTTCATATGCTGATCAGGTTCTCCCCCGATCGGGTATACCCACACTTACCCTATTGTCAGTTTGAGCTGGCATGGTTTGGGGGATTGGATTAAATGTTGGGGAAGAGTTCCATATACAGACACCAGTAATTATTCCCTACAGTGACCTATTAGCCTTCGGGAAGCAAAAACATGTCCAGAAAAGTCAATCTAGGAAGGAAAAAACCAAGTCGTACTTAGAAAACACTTCTGAGTTTTTCAGGTCAGTTTCATAGGGTTTGTGCATGGGGTGTCAAGTGGCATCCGTACATGGCACTCTTTCCAAATGGTATTGTTAAACTCTTTATCCTTTTTGAGAAATGTACAATTTATGTAAATGAATAGTTTTATAGTTTGGAAAGGACTTTTCATGTACCAATCAGTGATTGATTTTGTAAACAAATTTATTGTGATTTTCCCCCACACACCATATTTTGAATAACACCTGTCAGCTGAAATTATCTATTATTTTCCCCTGTGGCAAGACATGCATAAGTCCAAAACGGGCCACAGTCGTCGTCACCGCTCAGACGGTTTGTTCTGCAACTACGCCCACCGCATCTGTATGCAGGACCGTCTGGACGGCTATGAGTACTGCCTTAACCACATCTTAGAGGACAAGAATGCTCCGTACAAGCACTGCACATTTGTCTCCAACAAGGGGGGTCGACGGTGCCTGCAGCCTGCCCACAAAGCCGACAAACGCGATGGGTAAGATTGCTGCTTCCATCAGACAAATGGAAATGCTACATCATAGTTTGACATCAGCCAAATGCTTATGAAAAAAGTGCTTCAACCCGAACACTCCTCAGTCCTCCAACAGGTGAAGGATTGAGGAGTGTTAGGGTTAACCGGTCAGTCCATGAATTTTTTTGAGTCAAGTGTTCACATTATCCTGTAAAGTCCACTTGGAGACTTGGGGGATTTTTAATACATGTGTTGAGGAAGAGGGCGACCAGAAATTATTTCCCAACAAGAAGTTTAAAATCAGCGGCAAGTACAAAGAATGTGCCGTCGGGTTCTTGCAGCTTCAATTCAGCGGGAGTAGTAAAGGTTAATCTTTATGAAATGAAAGTAAATTGATGAAAAATAAATTGGGGTGATCAACGTGTTTTGACATGTTTGTAAGGAAGAAGCAGAGAGAGAAATTGGGCAGAAAGTTCCAGCATCCAGTGCCTTCTGACCATGTGCCCAAATATGTTGCTAAATTTGAACTGCGTTGAGATGGTTTGCTATGAATTAAAATAAACTTTGGCTGTAGGGTTTCGGCAGCTTAGGAAAAAAGAAGTCCAGAATTATGGCTAGAATAGGAAACTCAAGGTTAAAAAGAGCACTTTGTTATTGAGGCGTGAATCTTGTAGTCCAGGAGTGGCCCAGGTGTCGTAAATTCCATTATCCCTAACCATATTAAACCCAGTGATGTTCAAGAGTGGTCACTACCTGTGGGATTTTGTTGATGTGGGCAGTGAACAAAAGGCCTTTTGGCTTCTGTCAGGGGTGGTTACTAGGCTTCATGCTATTTTTGTGTTTTGATTCTGTTGGGTTGTGCAGGGTATGTAGAGAAAATCTGAAGGGAGGTCAGTGAGGCTGCACGTTCAGATGTTTTTACTCAAAGTAAAAACATAAGTTGACCGATGTGACCCATTTCAGGTACTGCCGGGAACATGCCCAAAAGGTGGCTGTGCTGAGACACAAGGCCGGCCTGAAGCCGTTCCCGCGCAACTCGCCCCGCGAGATCTTGGACAGTTTGGACCGTTACCAGCAGGAGCCGGGCAAGATGACACCTGACGCCCTAGCAGAAGCCCAACCGTCAGTGGCCGCCAAAATCCTAGGTGCGAGTGAAACCTGTTTATGTAAATGCCCCCGTGTAAGATGAAAAAGAACCTGCATTTTTTAACTTTGATCCAGTTTTCGGGGTTATGGTCAGTTCTGTCATTAGTGATCGTCATGGTTGTCCTATTTTGTGGACCTAGATTGCGCCAGCGAGAGCGAAAGCGACGAGGACCCCTTGCAGGTTGATCAGGCATGGCGAGGAACCACCGACAGTGATGCCGAGAGTGTAGACAGCGAACAGGAGGATCTCCTCAAGTAAGTTGATACCATCGCACCCTTTCCAATTACCTCTCGGTTCCATTCAACAGTAAGTGACCCACAGAGTCCCTTAACCCTAAATTCTCACTGTGTTAAAGCATCTTTACACTGAGGTTGAGTAGAGGCAGTGGGACTGTGTTTTCAGCTAAACTGTGTACAGTCAAACCTCGTTAATAAGAGGACCTTCAGACTCAGCAAATTACCGTTGATGTAACCGGAACCTTGTATTAGCAGGAATGAAAATAATGAAAAACAAAAGATAGTGACCTAAAAATTTCCTTGTGTATAAGCAGAATCTTGTATCGACAGTGCTCTTAATATAAACAAGGTTTGACTGTATTTAGACCGGAGCGCTACTGAGAAGGCACTAACCGTACCAAAGCACTGAACATCAACCCACTCCAACAACGACATCAGTAATCTACAGTCATTAACCCTTGCTCTGTTGAGGGGAGGGGGTTAGTGTGGAGCAGATATGCCGCCATCCTCCTAGCATAGACCTTTGCAAGATACTGGACCTCCTCAGGAAAGATGACAAATGGAACGAATAGGAGGTTGCTGTTTGCATTTCAAAGGATTGGTTTGGCATGCCTGGGAGCGAGTTGCTGGCCTCCACTGTAGCACAGTTTCCACGACAAAGCAGGGGGCAGTTGTAGAAAGTGAAAAGAGCAAGGATTGAAAGAACCCCTTTAAAAAAAATATGTGCTTTTGCCAACTCCACTCCGCAAAGCAAGACCGCATCTGTGACTTTTTTCTCCATGTTTTCTCTTGGCACGCTCTGCAGACATGCAGGAGTGTACACCCCTGAGGAGGTGGCGCTCATCACCCGCGAGAAGCTGATCCGTCTCCAGTCCCTCTACATCAACCAGTTCAAGCGGCTCCAGCACCTGATGAAGGAGAAACGACGGCATTACCTGCTGGCGCTCAAGCAGGAGAAGGAAACCATCGGTGGGTCGCCTCCTCCCCCTCTCTTCTCCCCCACCCCACCTCCCTCCCCCCTAATCTACCCCCTCTCCCCATGATTCCACCCCACTGTTCAAAGTATTTTGGGGAATTCATAGCGCGCCCGTGTACAAATGGCAAAATGCAAGATGGACTGAGAGCTAGTCTACTTTCAGGTTGGTTCCCGTTGCATGGACGCGTAATCGCTATGGATGTGAGGTATATACACCAACTAATGAATAATGAAAAAACCTCATGGTTTTCAAAATTGTCCGGATGGAAATCCAGGATGTTCATTCTCATGGCCTAACAATTGGCGTGCAAGTACAGCTTATATGATTGCCTCGTGGTTGGAGAGTGCACGTACAAGAAGACATCCCCTGTTGGGAAGTCCCATTGCGTGAGGGAAATCTTTGGTCTTTATTCTGGAAGCTTTCATCAAAGTGATCAGCAGTGTCCACTGCTGTCAAATATTGCTTCTTCAGCTCCTTGTGTGGGGCCCTGTCATTGCTAGTGCTTGATACTGACTCTGAGGGAAATCCTTGCCTCTTTCTCTCTCCAGGTATGAGCCTGGGCAGCTTCGCCAGCCCCAAGGAGAAGCGTAAGGTTCTGCGCCTCAAGTCCATGCAGTCCTACCATCGCCGGCACGGTCGGGAGGCCCTGCTGCACAAACGGTCCAAGCATCGGCGTATCAAGGCTACTCCCGGTTATTCCGGGTCCCAGAAGGTCAGCCTGCCGGCCCGCTGCAAGCACACCAGGGAGAACAAGCCGTGCGAGAGGCCCGCACTGCCCATCACAGGGTTCTGCCTGGATCGTATCCTTTCCGAGTACGTAGGTCACGGGAAGCCCTGAGAAAGTTGCGTTGAAGTGTGCAAAACATATCGAGAGGCATTTTTCCTGACATTTTCCAGCTTCATATAGCCCAGGGATTTTGGCATGAGGGGTGTCTGTGTCTGTCCCGTGTGCATGTTTTTGGACAACCTACAGACCGTATTGGACATCCAGTTTTGTCTATACAAAAATGATTGTTAAAAACTTAAGAATCTGACTTCTACAATATCCTGTTTTTCACTTTAAGGCAAATTTATATAACCAATTTTGATGCGTTGGGTATAACTCCGGGTTGGTCCTGGATATTCTCTCAGCAAGAAGTAGTTCTAGAACCACATTGTTGTGCAGGTATGTTCCTATGGAGTACCAAAGTGAATACGTTAATGAGAACCAGCGTGTGAACCAACACACTTGTGTACTCCCATTTGTTTGCACTGCACACAAAATGGCATCACAACTGAATACTGTACAGCCTTGGACAACCCTTTTGCTCAGCCAAAAAACCCCCCAATTTAATCCCCCTTTCGGTAACCCTCGCTTAAGCTTCCAAGCATTGCACAGAATCGTGGTAGTGACTTCTGCTGAAAAGTGTCAACCTTGACAGTCATCTGACAGACGTGTTGGAGGACAGCCACCAGGTCTTGTACACGCCTTGCACCAAGGGTCGCGTGGCCTGTACCTATCCGGCCGATCCCTTATCCCTCGAGGGCACCTGTCTGCTGCACACGCCTGTCGCGCCCGAGTGCTTCCGATCGGCCAACCAGCAACTGGAAGAGGAATCCGAACAGGTGAGTGTTGGGAGCATTCCAAAATTAATTGATTTCCTGGATATCACAGAGTCTTTTGAGTTTCTGCGGTATTTTCTATAGGCCAAACAGAATTTGAAAAGAGGAACACGGAAAGATTTGTGCTTGCATGTGTGAGACCCAGAGAGGATGTTATAACAACACAACCATCTGTAAAGAAAAGCTGTTTTAAGTCAGGCGTGCAACTTTTCCTCGGATCAGCTGATTTCCTCGTTTTTCACGTCACATTCATGCCGCTGAAAATTGATAAATACTGTACAAAGTCTTGTAAAGATTGGAATTTCCTCGTTTTTTTGTCAAACTCAAGTTGCATGCCAGTTAAGTCACGACTTTTTCTCTACAAAGACTTTGAATCAATATGCAGCAAACCACGCGTTCACTATTAAATCTAGTATTTCAAGAGTCGCCAAGAATTGGTGGTTTTTTTCCTGAATTTCTATCGTTTCTTGGGGTTGGAATTTCAATAGGAAAAAAATGCATCAGCGGCCATGGCTGATCATGACTACTTGCAGAGGCCGTCGGAGGCCACAGATGCCAGCGACCACGATGTTGACATCCTGGGCTTATCAGGCGAACAGATGTACATGCTGGGGACCGTCTCAGACGAGCCAGACATTCTGTCTGGTCAGTTGCCGCCGACAAGCTTAGCAGAGAACCCAAAGGTGAGCAGAGCAGTGGCGTACGCTGGTCACAAGTCATACAGTCGCGAGTCAAACTTGCAAGTTATTGGGATGGACCATCACAGAGACCTTAAAAGTTTTTCCCATTTGATCCTGTTATTTTGTGACCAGACCTGGAACTTCAGTTTGACATCAGAAGATGTTCACTCCTTAGGGCTAGATGCTTCAAAAGCACGAGTAGAGTTTATTTGTTGGAGTCCACCAGCTGACTTAAGTATGTTTCAAATGCGCATTGTGACACCTCGTTTCAAGGATGGCTCTTTGTGCATTGTTGAACAAATCGGAGGGGTTGGAGTAAAATGAGCAAGGATTTATTTTTCAATGGAAGGGAAATACAGTAAACCTTGGATAAGTCCAATTTGTTTAAGCCAGATTTTTGCTTACCTTGGTTAAAATCACTTGGAACATTTGATTTCTTATGTTCTTAAATAAAATTCCTCACCTAAGTCGGATCGCGAAAGTCAGATTTTTGCTTGTCTTGAACAAATCCACCTGGAACATTTGTTAAAATACCGTAATTTTTTTTAACTAGTCAGATTAACCAAAAACAATTTTGTACATTTATTCATTCCAGTAAACACAGGGATTTGGGGAATTTTGGGGTATTTTCCTGTCCAGATCAATCATTTAAGCACCAGCTCCACTGGGTTTTCACAGCAGCGATATCTGCAATACCATGTCACATGGGCCGCATGTGTACACATCCGCTGTTCAGTAGAAGCCTATAACCTTGTCTCGAGCTCCGTCTGTTGCTCCACGCCCATTGCCCTACTGCATAATGAACTTCATTTCCGGCTGGAAAAAAGGCCATGTGCCCACATGATCACAGACTGCGGTTTTTTATTGGATAAAGGTAGCTGGGCCAAGTACATGGACTACGGAAATACATGTACATGTGCCTTGTGATGGTCAGCGCCCGAGGTACGAACTCGCGTGGCACAATTAGTGAAACACACTTTGATTTTCTGTTGTACGGTGCACTGTGTAGTGTGAAAATAACTGATGCTTGATGTTAGAAACATCGCGGTATCACTTTATTTCATGCTTTGTTGGCTGTGGTCGTTATATTGCTGGCAATCAGTGACTGTGTAATGCATATCGTCTTCATTGGTCGCTCCATTGGATCCAACTTATCCAAGGTTTTCTGTACACGCAAGTGCTGGGCTATTGTAGGCGTCCTCACACACAGAATATTCTTTCTCCAACGGCTGAAGAACGTGGCTAAGTTGTTAGTGTGTGGTTGTTCACTGTGGGGATGTGTATCAGTGCGCTTTAATGAGCATATTGGCAAATTTGGAATCCTACATGGACACATTGGTATGTTCTCTTTTCAGGAACCAGAACGGACTGCAGTTTCACAGGCTGGAACATGACGAACGTAGCCATCCAAGACCGTATCAAGGGTGTGCATTTCTGTGCTCCACAAAGTTGGCGTGGCGTTTACATTTTTTTTTTGGTCGCCAAAGTCCTCATTTTCAGACATCCTCAAGAGCTGTTACTCTTGTAGGCAGTTTCAGGCTAGGATTTGGAAACAGCTGTCTATGTGTGCGGACGTTGGAATAAAAGGGATTTGAAGTTTGTTTTATAGTTAATTATTTTGTCACAGCTGTCGGGTCCTTTGTTTGAATAATGTGTCTCAATTATGACATACGTTTTATATTCACAACCAATACTACACATTGTGTCCATTATTAATGCCGATATCAAAATGTATTCAAGCAAAACTTAAAAACGCTGTCCTTTTCATCAACATGCACGTGTGGTCCACGTTAACGGTGGGACTTCATAATTTCTCCCAGACTGGGAGGTGTTTTTGTATGGGAGTTCACGAAAACATTCTTGCCACCCAAGTTTTTTTGTTTGGGTTTTACTGATTTATAATTGGTCAGAGATGCAGTCCAAATTTGATGGGGCTTATGAAAATGGGCCATTTGGCCACTTGATAAACCTCATTTTGAAGCACACTTATTAATTAAAGGCCATGTAATTTTGGTGTTCTTGAAGGGGCATACATACGTAATAAATCAACAGCGAAAACCATTAATCATTTGTTCGATTTTAATCGCTTCGGACATCGTATTATGGTTAACACAAATTGCATAAAAGGGAGAAAAAAATGGCCGATCGGCACAAGGTACCAAAAGACACATGTCAGAATTGAAGCATTTCAAATACTTGAATTTAAAGCCTACGAATAAACTTAAGAGTTACTTCTTGCAAAACAAGTCTATGAAAATAAGGCACTTGGCAATGGAAGCACTGATCAATTTTGGACTTACGGGTGGAAATATTTATCAAATGTTCTTGGCCTGCAAATTTTTCAACTCTAGCTACACAGTTCTATCAAAAGGTACTAAAAACGAGTACTGGAGCAAGGCATTTCAATTCTTGGATGCGTGGCACTAGGCTCAGAGTGGGGGAACAGAAAAGTCCTCACCAACTGACAATTTGAAAGTTTGAACTTACTCAAAGTAAGTACCTAAAAACCAGATTCCCTCAGATGCTCTCCGCTCAAAATGCCACATTCCACCTCAGGATTAGATGAAGCTTAACTACAGCATGTGGGTGATTCATTTTTTTCAGCGAGGTTCTGCATCATTTCATGTTAAGCTTGGTGCTGGGTCTGTCCAGAACTCTAGAATGATGCTTTTCCAAGTTATTCATTTCTTTAACACACCAACTCTCATAATTGGCCTTACTTCAGCACAATACAATGTGACAATATAACTATTGGAATGTGAAGTGCTTTTCAGCATGAAGTTTTTTATTAAAAAAATAAATCAACGCAACGTGTTCATTATATCAAAATGTATCATGCGATGCACTTCGTAATGTGTACTGCATGATCCCTGTCATATGATCCAAATTTTCAATCACGATCTGAATGAAATTGAAATGGTGTGAACTTCACATAAAAATGTGACCCACTCTGTGAAAAGGCATCTTAAGTTGGCAGAACCACTGTTTGAGTTTTCATTTGTATTGGGAAGCGCAAGTTGAGTGTTTTGTTTTGATGTATCGCTCAGTTTGGCATCCTGATGAAAGTGGTTACTCCATGGTGACAAATGCTGTGGGTTCCTAATGATTTACACACTGCAAAATCATTCTAAAGGATTTTTACTCCAAAGTGGCTCTGGCGACTCGAGACTCTTTTTTCACAGAGTGGGTCACATATTTTTAGACTCTATAAGCCATCATACACATGATACTCACGCAAGTGAAACAATTTCACGAGATAATTTTCCAAGCACAGACGACTTACAGAAGAAAACAAATATCGAACAGCAGAGCTGTTCTAAGACCTACAGAATTCTAGTACTGAGCATTTTAATTTGGCTCAATATGCACGGTCAAGTCCCTAAATTACACTGATGGATAATATTCAATCATGATAAGACCAACTTCTAAGAAGTCATCTCTGGTATCTAGTCGTGTGCACAGAATCATGTGTGAATCGTAGAATCCTTGTTTGTCGTTTGTATAAATTTATATATTAAGATGGTAATAGATGAATATTTTCATTTGAAATTGGTCCTTGATCTGTAAAATCCAAGTATGAGGACGATCTATTCTTCTTCCGCTTCCAGGATGGTGGCAAAGGAGAAGGGGGCGAAGAGGTAACCCTCTCCTTTGTAGAACTTATTCTGGAACTCCACCCTGGACAAAAGGAGAAAGATAAGATCCCATGGTCTATTAAGGCATTCAGAATGCACATATGTGAAACAAAACAGCCTTCTCGGAACCAGCGTGGATCTCTGATGATCGTCCGGTGGAATGGTCACTGAATGGACAGGGCTTGAGGGTTGTACCCGAGAGGACAAACTTTTATGAATGGACGACTGAACCCATGAAGTGAAGAACACGACCGGGATCTCGAGAAATCCACAGCCAAGTTCAATCGGCAACCACTGGTTGCTTTTTGCCAAGTAATCCAAGCATAAGATATATATACACACGGACGAAACCGACAAGCAGTTGACTAATGGTCGCCGACTGAAAGTGGCCCAAGTGAGAGGGTGCATTCGAATGACCCACTGTGGGGGGGGGTGCGATAACGCACCCACTGTACTCACCAGTGGAGACGGAGTGCGTGGAGGAAGGCAGACAGACCCTCCATGAGCAGCAGGATAGCAATTGTCAGCACGGCGAAGGCTGTGAACACGGGAAAGAGGGCCACCCAGCCGAACGCCGTGGGCAGATAGGGAAAGGCCAGGCCCTCATGCATGACCATGGTCCACAACACCTCGGAAAGCTCTACGATTCAGGGGTGTGGGGAGAAATAATATCGGGCAGGTTATTAGAAAGGCATGGCATGAACAAGGGTTGTATGTCACAAGTTTTGGATTCAGAAGCACAAGAAAGCATACGTCCTCTCACATGACACAAAGCTGCTACGTTCATCTCACAAGACAAGTCCGTGGGACAACCAAAACTACAGGGAGCTGTAACCAAGAGGATCAAGAATCCATTTGCTTGTCGTGCCGCAAATAACAAGGAACAACCAATGCTTAAAAGAATACCATTGTTACAGTTCATTTTAACCATATCCTGCCGGGGAGGCCGGTTTCGGGTGCTTTGGGTTTGCACGCATAGCCGGGGTGCTCAAAATCGGACAAAAGAGCTGTGGGCCTTGGAGCAAAAGACTGTACTCAGAACAAAAGACAAAGCTGCTGGGAATTGCCAACATTTTTTCAGTTGTCGATAGCGGAGGAAATCCGTCATTGTTTTGGAAGATTATACCACTGTCTGTGGCATTCACCGCGAGCGGATTGCCACCGGGAACAAAAGCTCTCCAGCACTCCAGTCATGAGCGATACAATACCGTTGCACGCTAATCTGGCCCGTATTGAAAAGGCACGAGCAGTGTACTGTGCCAATTTCGGGAACAAAAGAAACTTTATGTCACACCACACAATCTGGGCTCTTTTTACCAGGCAGTAGGCATCAATAGATGTTGTCTGTCAGATTAGAGTAACCACCAAACAGTCATTCCATGGGGTTTACGAATTCAGGAAAAAAAAGATAAGAATTATTTTTGAAGATTTTTGAAAACCGAAGATATTGAAAAATCGCCCATATGTAGACACTACATTTTAAAAGCACCCGGCAGGAAATTGTTAAACAGGTTGTGACCAACTTTTGACCCAATGTGATGACTCCGGCACTGGAACCTTGGATTCTTTTTTGACTGTATTCATACCCTCAAATTCTTGAAATGTGTCATTCCCACCTAAGGTCATCTTGTGAAAAACGGCTATCCATGATCAACTACCTTGGTATCTGTTTATCGATGACACTCACCGGCATGAGCGAGGCTGAGCGCCCAGAGACGTAGATAAGAAGCCGTGTTGGAGACGCAGCCCAAACAGAACTCAATGGTGTGGATAGCTTGATTAATCAACACTTCGCCGAATGAAAACTGGGGGAAAAAAAACAGTTTCGCAAAAAATCTACACTACAAGTTTTTTCCATGGAGGGGGGGTTTCCTGCTTAAAAGAAGAATGGACAATGATATAATTTTTTTCTATGTACAAGTTCATAGCTTTCTCCATCTAAATTGCGATTAAAAATGAAATTCTTTGGCGGCGTTAATATGTGACAATCCCACAAAATAAATCCGGAGTTTTTTGGCTTCTCCTCAGCAAAACAAAAACATACACAGCCCTTCACTTTGAAATTTCACTCAAAGTGACATCACGCAGATCGAGGGCGTGGATATACTTAGGTTGCAGACACATGGAGACTTCTTTTGCTATGTCAATAACTGAAGCAAAGACTCTCGCGGAATAAGGTTGGCGTAGCGGTGCTTTCCTCACCTTCCAACTCTTCGACTCAAGGTTAGAAATTTCGTCAGTTTGTGGATTGGGTTTTCAGACCCTATTTGATTCTTAGGATTTTCCCAGGAATATTCATCCAGGGTTTTCCCCTCATACCTCTAAAACTGAACATTCCTCGTGGTTTCACTAGTTTCCGCCCGGCTGCGGTTGTGTTGAAAACGTGAGGTTCCTCCATAGCTACGTTTTATGACTGAAAAGGGGCCGTAGCTTCAAGCTGAGCTGGAACCTGTTTTAAACACGACTTCAAAGGGGAGGGGGACTGGTGAAGACGAAGCCCAAACCAGTGTGTCAAAAATACTCGTTTTAGTTCTTGCGTGCTTGTAAAACATAAACTAAAAAACTTTGTTCTCTATGGTTGAGCTTGCTTTTCTGTGCTTTGCAGTATCTACCAAATATGCTCTGTTTGCACAAAACTGGTTTTTCAGCATTGCTATGAAATTGGGCAATAGTACGCACTGTGCCTGCAAGCCTCATAGGGTCTAGTGCTCAGGTCTGGTACCCAGGACACTCAAGGTCGTACCCAGGACCCTTTGAGGTATGGTACCTCGGGTCTTTCAGCTCTGGTATCCAGGACCATCAAAGCCCTGGTACCCAGAACTTTCCAGATCTGGTACCCACCCCCGAGGCCAAGTACACTACCTCCTGCCTAGCTCCTGCATCGCCATCCATGCTGTCCTCCACGCTGTTAACTCCCTGGCTGGAGCTCTCCGCCTGGAACTGTTCATCCAGTGTGTCATTGATCGGGATGGCCATCGAATCTTCCTCCGTGTTCAGATGCTGCATTAGAAGCGTCGAGAACCGCATTTTGGGCTGAAAGTGGGCAGTTGAGGGGTCGTGCGTGTGTGGTTGGGGTGTGTGGATTTTGGTTGAGGGGAGGGGGGGGAGTGTGTCAGCAGATGATGGTGTATAGGCCCAGGTAGGGTAACCAGGCACCAGGCGCATAAACACAGCAGGACAAAGGGAGAACAGAACAAGAAAAACAAAATGCCAACTTGCAATGCTTTCGTTTTTAGGGATTAAAGAGGATAGGACAAGCACTACTACTGAAAGATATGTAGCCTGTTGTCATAGCAACCTGCACAAGAAGCGTCATGGAATGGCTCTCATGGGTTGTGTACAGACAAACTCTTCTTTTCTGTAGAACATATTACAAACCCTTTCATTTTTTATAGACTACTGGCCTATTCCTCAGAGCTCTGCAATAAACACACAAAAAAATCTTTTTGCAAAGTAATTTTCTCAGAACACTGTAAGTTAAATTACTGACCAAAAGAAATTAAAAAAAAAAGAAAAAAAAAAGAAATACAGAGACTGGCGTCTTGGGCAACAACCCCCCCCCAAAAAGAAGTCTTTTCCGAGTTTATGGATTGAATTGACCATGGAATTTGGTCGACAAGTCCTCCACAGGATTTGTTTCAAACATAACAATTGTTTGAAATTGTTACCCACAGAAAACAACCTTTCACAAAATTCATCACCTGCACAAGTTTCTAAACAGAACGTGTGAATTTGGTTTGGACACAAAATCAACTTTGCAAACAAAACAAACACCCTACCATCAGGAAACATTTAATTCCCCCAATTACAATATGCTGAGCTCCATTTCAACTCAATTTTGGTGAGATGAGATTTAACGATATGCAATAATTCGTTCTTCAATAGAACCCCTTCCATCCAATGCAGTAATGCTCCATTATTACGCAAGTTGATGGAAGAGTATTGCGTGAATGTACCGAGTACATCTGATGCATGGAAGTTTAATATTGGAGTGAAAGCTGGAATTGCTCAAAATAAACTGTCACCTGACTAATTACTGGTGTGGGATAGTTGTCGGTGACAAATCTCGAACAGGCCAAGTGATTTTTCTCGTTTGAGTCTAGTGAGGAAAATATTTACCATAAGAGGATCCCTGAGGTGTCCACAAAATGTGTACATTGTAATTTGAAATGGACTCAATATGCTGGACTACATGTTTTTCTCATTTTCAGGGTTCCTGCACCTAAAGAACAATTAAATCCAATGACTTTTCCATGACCAAATTAGGAAAATCCAAGACCCAATAATGCAATTTATTGGACTATTCAGACTTTAAAAGTTGCGAATTTTATGCACTTATTCCTTGCAATAGAAATCACACACAATGTTTGAAAAAATCCATGACTTTAGTCATTTTTACAAAATTTCATGACTTTTCCAGGCCTGGAAAACAAAAAGAAATTTCCATGACTTTTTCATGACTTTTCCAGGCTGCTGGAACCCTACGTTATGGAAAATGGATGTACAAAGAATTTCTGTTCGTATGTAGCACATGGTAAAATGAAAACGGTCCGGATTTCGGTTTCTTGTGCAAGCTGCTGCGGCAACCACGCCAAAGAGACTTCCAAAGAAACCAAACAAGTTACAGGATTTAATACCGGAGTTACAATTGGAAACATTTAACCAGTTGACGCCGGATGACGTGTAGACACGTACAGTTTTCCTTATTTGTTCCACGGAGGACAAGTGCACTCGTTTGAGACTTCTTTTTTCATTACTGTGGTTGGCGTATTAATGCGTCGTGCTTGGTTGCGCCATAAATAAATTGCTATTTCGAAGACTTTGCAGGGAAAGAAAAAAAAAACACCGCCTCTGGCGGCTTTTTCAGGTAAGAAAATCCGACGTTAACTGGTTAAGAACCTCAAGAAGAATACTAGGGTCGAGTCAAAATGCAACGAAAACATTAAAGCACAGCTTATTTAGAACTACAGGCTAACGGCAGGTGCAACACAAGCTCACTAATATTTCCTGTCCTGGCCGGGGAAGAAAATATAAACTACTGAAACAACTACATAACATGCCAGATGTCCGGGGGAAAAAAATGAATGAAAAGCAAGACTTTATGTTTACAGAACTGGCGAGTTACAAGCATTGCCAAAGAGAAAAAACTGCACAGATAAAAAAACAGAACAAATGAACGACGAAGAAGATACAACGGCAAAATAAATGTTCAAACAAAAACAGACCGTCCACATGCAACTTCATCAGACACATGCATCTTGCAATGACAGCTGAAAATTTCGACTCGTATGTAGTATCCGCTCCGAGTTGAAGTGCGCCCTCACCGGCAACGACGAGACATCTCGGGGGGAAGTGTTTTAACCGCGCTGACATTGCTCAACCCGGTGCACACGCAGACGCTATGCATTCAAACATGAATTGGTTGGGTCAGTGCGTTCAGTGCTAAATGCGCACGAATCTGTGCATGCGTGCCGCGAGATTCCACCATAGGACCGTCCACACCCCCAGTGTTTGACAAGTATAGAAGTGCCCTCGCTTGTTCCTGCTCGGAGCGGATAACCATGCAGTCACATCCATGCCTTGCAGCCATGGATTCCAAACCAGCTAGCCAGGCATCACAGCTAACAAACCATATACTGTCGCAGGCCAAAAAAAAAAAAACCAGTTCAAACTAATCAACCCAACGCCAGGAATCGCCTTGTGCCTCCAACTGGTAGCACATTTCAGGCCATGCATTTTAGTGACATTGGTCTGACATTATCACTGCAATTTTCCAACAAGTCAGACATACAATAATTATCATCCTCGAGGTGTTGGGGAGAGGAGGAACCAATGTATAGGAATCAAGTCTTGTGTGAGCTGCACAACGTGTCCAATGCAAAACAAAACTGAGCCAGCTTTACTGCAGAGATCAAGCCCAAATGGATTTCAACAAGTAGCTTTTTATGACCCCAATTCCCATGGATGCAAACATGTGAACGGATGGTTAATCCCACCACCAGGTAGTTAATGAAATCCATAAATTCACTATACGTGGTGATCCATAGCGTACCAAATTACTTGTGTCAGCCAATTTATTAACCAAACAATCACTAACCCTTAGAACAGAATTTTTTTTAGGTTTTTCTGCTTTTGATAACCATGTTCCCAATCCATTACGAAATACATACGACATTTCTGTTTGTGAGTCTTTTCGGAAGGAATTTCACCAGGATAGTTAACTTCCCATTTTCCCTTGATCAAATATGTAGTTTCCCAATCGGACAGTTCACAGATTTCTCAGATGGCTGTCTTTTTGTGATCCGTGGCCTTTGCCCTGGTGCTGTTAAAATTAGTTTTCTCATTGCTGCAAAATTATTGTTCCCTATTCCCCGGGTCGTACGCGAAGCCAATACGGCTAAGTTCGTTGAGATCAGACATGTTTGTCCTACCTGGTGCGTAAGCCCTCTCCTGCGATGCTTGAACCAATTGTAGACGGGGCTACCAAAGAGCATGACCGGAACGCAGAGCAGCGCGACCACCAACAGAACCAGCTGGAGGTAGAACTGTTGACCAACAAAAAGCCGAGCGCTGAGAATATACGATTTAACGTGAGATATATCGCACAAGTATTGAACCAATGACTTTCATCATCACGAGTCGGTGCTTCCAGCATTTGGTAGTACCCGATAGAAGCCGATTGGCAATCTTGCCTTTGTCAAAAGTCAGCTTTCAGGACAAAAATGACTGAGTCTACCAAGAAACAAAAAAACAGAATGGTTGGGACCCCCCCAAAAGTCTCTGGTTTCTAGTCAGTGCGCACATCGCCGTAGACCAGCACGTCAACCAAATAAAAAAGGTTTTTTAATTCCGTATGATATGATGTCCAAAAGTTGCCAAAGTTGCTTGTTTAAGTGGAATAATTTAACATGTTTTAGATGGGGTATGGTCAAGAAGCACGTCCAGTAGAAGTCCCTCTAGGCCCCCATACATTTAGTAGGGCACTTTTTTCAGGTGTCATTTCTGTATTATACATCTGGGAACCAAACGAGGTGGTCTTATGTCCTGTGTACATCAACATAGCTGAAAACACATTTATACAGTAAACAGTGAGGGGCCAGTCTACTTCAGAGTTGGTAGCAGCAATACATGCGTACAAGTACAAGCACATGTGCATGTACATCATTCCTAGGGAAAAAAATTAACACTGCACCACTTTTGGAGCCACCCCCTGACCAGAAACTGGAGACTTCGGGGGGCCTTAAGAATGCAGGGGAAAAAAAGGAGTTTAGCTTCTCACCTGACCAGGAAACATGTAGAGTTCCGGCTTGTTGGAGACCAAGAACATGAAGATGAACATGTTGATGATGCTGGGGGCATCTTCGGAACTTCTGGCATCGTAGGTCAGCCACTTGACGAAGACCAGAGCCACCAGGTAGCCGAAGATCAGTCCCAGGAACAGCACCTGAGGTATGAACTCCAGAAAAATACGGCTGTACTCCCGTCGGTTTCTGTCAAAGTGCAAACGTATAAATACAGAAACTGACGATTTCAGATTTAAAGTAAGTCTTCCAAGCCTATGTCTGCATCAAACTCAACTTGTTTCAAAGCCTGTTTTCTCTGTTAAATTGAACTCCACAGGACTACATATAAAAATGTCATCTCTCATAAATTGAATGGGTAACTGTGCCCTGTTATATATCAGATCAAAACTTACAATGTGAGTTTCCCAGCCATGCATACACCTGCTGCTTGGGTTATGAACACCATGACGTGAACTTACAAAAAACAAACAGGTTGTAGACTGGGCTCCGGAATTCTTTAGTTATAATCTAGAAATTTTAACTTAATCTTTCAGCAACTGAGGAGACTTATATGGCCTTATCAAGTGCCCTGATGAACAGTGTGTTACCACGTCCCTCTAAGCCTTCAATTGTCCCAAAGACCCCACTTTAGAGCCTGTGAAACAACATCAACAGCCACCGGCCACAATGTGGCCCTTTGGTCAAGTTTACATATTCCATCCCCCGGTTCTCTGGCCGCACCCCGCCCATCCTACAGTGGCACTTTGGCAAACGTACATGTGATTGAAAAGGCTGAGGAAGATGCCGAACATCATGTGGAGGACGCCAAAGATGATGGACAGCCGCATCTTGAAGGGGTTCAAAAAGTTCAGCTTGTTCTCAGACAGCTGCCATATCTGTTGGTTGATAATCAGCGTGAACGAGTGAATCAAATGAGATACCTTGAACTAAGACTACATTAACATTGTCCAATGCAGCATGCTGAACCAACTAGAATGTCAAAGACAGGATGAATGAAAAAGGTAGCCTCTCACTCAAGGAACTGGTCAGAAATTATACAGTTTACCAAAGAGAAAAACTGCTTTTCCCGCAATAAACTACCAGTTCTGTGCTTGGCAGGGCCAAATTTCACAGCGCTGCTAAGGACACCATTTTACACTCACAGCCCATACGCAGTAAGAGCAGGAAATTACGCCAACCTCTGAGGACAAAATGTGCTTAACTAACTTAACAGTGGAAATCTCTGTCTGTTCCTGTGAAATTTTTGTGCTAAGCACAGCAACAATGAAATGTTTGCCATGAAATGCGCTTACCAATAAGCAACTTTTTGAGCAAAACATGTGCTTAATGGTAAGCGGGGCTATGAAAGTGGGCCCAGCTTAAGATTTACGTAGGAATGGCCTCTTCCACTTTTATTCCCGAGGCAGCCGAGTACATTCTTGTAGAAATAAATGCATTTGAGCCTTACGCACAAACCCTGTTTGTGTACTGCCTGTCAAGGGGGGAACAAGCGAGGGCGCTCCTCCTCACTTCCTACTCACCGGGTCGAGACCGTATGGATACGGTTTGCCGCTGTAGGCCTGCACAGGGTCCAGCTGCAGCTTGATGTTCTGATCCAACAGGTCCTCGCTGCAAAACCCAAAAAACAGATCAAAAATCACAACGGCTGGCAACACAGCCGAGCTTTACCGAATAAAACTTTCTCCGACACTTGAGGTGCCTTCTTCAGGGGAGACAGCGAGATCTGACAATCTGTAGAATAATTAATTGCAGGTGAATACACTGGCCCTGCGCTTAGCCACAAGTAGTGTCCAGTATTTTCACTGTGAAAGGGTACTTATGATACAGAGAGCCTATTTCTCCAATCTCCAGGCTTGGAACGTGGTTTACGACCAAAAACGTTGCCGGGATGCTCACGTGAAGTTCTTCATATGAGAGACGCTCCAACTTGACTGGAAGATGTTGACCGACTTGGAGAAGAAATCGTTGTACATGAAGCCGGTGTAAATGGAGAACATGCCCATGAAGAAGATGATGTAGCGCCCGCCAAAGATGACGTTCCACATCTGGCACGAAACAAGCGAGAGAAACTTTCACCTGTGCAGATCCTCGTGAGAACACAGAGCTTACCCAAAACAAATTGGAACACATCAAGTATTCCAAGTTGCAACCTACTAAAGCATTGAAATTGCTGTTTAGAAAAAAAATTAATGAAGCAGATCAAGATGAGCCTAGTTGTAAAATAACGAAGCCCCTAGTGGCACTTGATGCTTGCGTCAGGTTCTGATGTTATCAAGGACCTTAAAATTTGAAGTGGACGGCTGAATGAGTTGCCTCGTAAACTACCTGAAGAGTGCAAACCCACACCTTGGCCTGACAGGTGGAACTAAATATCACCCGATCATCCCATCTTTACCTCGTTTCTGGATTTGGCTGCGATCAGCTTGGCCTCCTTGATGATCATCCACAGGCCAAACAGGGCCATGAGGGTGCCGTGGCCGGCGTCGCCAAACATGACGGCAAACAGGAACGGGAAGGTGATGATGGTGTACGGCGCTGTTCAGGAAAAGAGGGAGAGAAAAGCATGTCAGGTCTTGCCGTCTTGTGAAAGATATGGACAATTTGACTTCGTAACTTGCAGTCGAGACTGACTGGCAGTCTTGCTTGGATTTTTCCTAAATTCTTTACTAACCCAATGTGAGAAGTTTCCATCTCCACCCTGTTAAACCTTCACCAAGAGCGGTACCCCCGACCGTGACTAAACCTGCAGTAAACAAGAGTCAGCTCCTATGCAGTAACCCCGGCGTGACCCTTCCCAAAACTAAACAGGATTAACCTTCCATAAACCTCGCCCTCCCAAGCCCATCTGTACATTCTCAAACCTTCGGCAAGGTTCCGCTGATAACTAACCTGGGTTCATCTCCCTGTAGTTGGCCACCCCGTAGGCGTCCACGATCGCCTGGAAGCCACTGGTGAACTTGTTGGTCTTGTTGTACGTCGGAGGGTCGTCCTTCGTCGTCACGATGTTCAAAATGGACGGCACAGTCGACCCGCTCCTCTCCTATTGTCCAAGCAGAAAATTAAGTCTTACAGAAATTCTACTTCTGCAACATGCCCTGGCTGTGCTGAGCCTCATGTGCAACAAATACATGAGATTCGCAATCTACCATTCACTGAACTTAAATTTCTCTGAGTATTTATGAGCACAGACACAGTGCCCATTTTCCCTGCAGACACTCACGTTTCCGTGCTGCAGGGCCAGGCGGATGCGCCCAAGTTCACCCTCGGGGCACCAACACTCTGCGATCAGGCACTTGTGGGTGACGTCCATGTTGCAGAGGTTAAGCGTGTGGTAGATGGCCTTCAGCTTGCGCACCTTGATGAACCAGACCCACAGGCTGCTGGCAGCCGACGCCAGGACGCGCTGCCGGTGGTCCACCGTCTGCACCAGGACCTCAAGGGAGGACATAATGAATATGCAAATTGAGAGGTGTATGCCAATCGCAGTGAGTGTACAGGACCAATTTTCACCTGAATGCGCACAAACGTGAAAACACCTATGTGAGAGGAACGCGTGTGAAAGTGACTACACGACTAATGTGTGCCTGAGAGTTAGGGAAACCGTTCCATCTGTTGAAGATCCAGTTATATTTGTTACACTCTAACACCGGAGTAACAGTTCTCTTACACAAGTATTAGAGAGCTCTGCTGCCATCACTTAGGTGTGACAAACAGGTTCCTTGTTTGTCTTTTTTTTGGCATTTACAAACCATGCCAACATTAACAAAAACAGGCATTTCAAATAAATTTCGTAAATCACGAAGTTTTTCAACCTATCTTACTTTTTTCAGGTCTTCCAGCCGCTTAGCAACCCCAGTGCACATCTCACTTCGCTCCATAGCATTCTCTGGGCAGGGATAAAGGGTTGCATGGAATCTATTTGGAAGGGACAAAAAAAATAAACTTTGGATACTTGTAACCCACGGGTAGCTAGCTACTGGAACCAGGCAAACTAATACAGAAATAGAAACTGGGTGATGACGCCAGTGTTCAACCCCTAAGCCCTTGCTGTGACAACTAAATCTAAAAATATGTCCCAAAAAATGTCATGACCTGAATAAGGACAGATGCAATAAGTTCGGCCGTAACATCATGAAATGCTACTAAGGAGACATCAGGACTTCTGCTCACCCTTCACAGACTTTCTTGACACGGCCTCCCAGCTGGTCCCCTTGGAAGAAGGCGATGAAGACGTGCTTGATGACTTCATCTCCCTACACATCACAGGATGGAAGGCATTAATCTCTATCTATTCGCAACTCTACATTTTCTTTGCGAAATTTTCATTCTACTGCAATGTTGAGAGTAACTTTTAAAATTTGTATTATTTCTGCCCTCCAAAAAATAGCACGTGAATGAGCCATACAAAGTTTTGTTGCTGAAAAAGCTGGTCCTCACTGTTAGACATGCTGAAAATGCCGAGGTTTTCACACTGAGCACCGTTTACGTACCGTGCTGGGGTCTTCAAGCGGCTTGTCGATGACGACGTGTCGCAGGAAGACGTTACCTCGACACACCCGCCACAGTGTTTGCTCAAATGATGGCACACGCTCCCGACTGATCACTCCGGCAACAAAACTACGGAACAAACAACCAATTTACAGCAAAACAGACAGTTGAACCCGACAGAATGACTGCATCAGGCTGGATCATGGTCAAAGCCTCAATTAAACTTATTAAGACATAATATAAACAAAACATTCTGACAAATATCCTGCTTGGGAACATACCCAGCATGCTTTGCTGGATAACGGCAAATGTGAATGCGTAAGAAGCTCACCCAAACTTGATCGGGGAGTGCATCTGTCTGACGCCATCCTCTACACCAAAGCGGGAATATCCAGAGGAGCGGGCTTCTTCCACCTCCCGGCCCTGCTGGAAGAACTCCGCCTACGAAAGGGATGAGGCAGGCATCGAGTTAAAACAGAACGGCAAATCGGTCAAATGCGGTGGCACACAAAGGCAGAGATAAAGGTGCTGATCTTCTCGGATGGGTACCACGAATTATTTCTCATGGTTATTGAATTTCGTCAATGCAAGAACGATAGTGTTGGGTTTATAATTAACTTGGCTTATACAGTTGCAGTCCTGCGAAGTCCAAGTTGTCAAGCTACCAGTTTCCCTCAAGCTGACATACAGGCAAATCCTATTCAGAACTAAAATGAACCTGTCAAACCTCCAGATGAACCCAGGTATGGCGAAGCATTATTTTGGAATAATATCATACTTTATCTCAGAAACCTCAAGGGAGACCCTGACTTTGACATTTCAAACACAACAGACACAACCTCATGCTGTGGATTTCAAGATCAGAGGGAAACAACAGAGAGTGTGAGCGGATTTTTGTCTGGTCGCTCTGGTCGGAAGCTTCACCTCGGCAAAGAAGTCGGTGGTGTTCCTCAGCACGTGCCGATGTTCGGTCAGCTCCAGGTAGTTCCGCTGCAGCATCTCATGATTGCTGTTCACCTCCTTCATGTCCACCTCGATCTTCTCAAAGGTAGCCTGGACCACAACGACAGCAGACACAGAAGGAAGTGGATTAGGATTCAAAAGACTGCGGACAGGATTACGGTGTGCGTTTCTATTTCATTGGGGCATCATTCCTACGTCAAGCATCTCAAAAATGTAGTTTTTTTAACTGTGTACGAATGTATCCAAAACAGTTTCAATCATTTATAGTCTTGAGACAAAGAGTTACCATAGAAATCTGAAAATCAAATTCCCTGACTTTTCTAGGACTTTCCAGGACTAAAGTATGACCCAGTCCACAACATTGAACGTCACTTTGCAGAGACAAGTTGCTTGGTATTATAAACCGGAAGACTGCCATTGCCACTACTGTCGACCAACACTGATAGGATGTAGCCTATAAATCTATCGCAATTCTGTTGTTACACCAAAAGCAGCCCATCCAAAATAACCCTTGCACAGTCTTAATTTCCATGACTTTTTTCTCTGACAACAGGGATCCATGACAACTTATTTTCAAGGGTTGTAGCTAGGAATTTTTTAGTGCAGGGTGTTTCTGACAATTTTCAAAATATAAAACAGCCCACTTTCTCTCTCAATTAAAAAAAAACCTGCAATACTGTAGTATACATTGTGCTGGCTGGCAAGCTTCATTTTCGTCCCCAGTCATGGCTGGTAATGTTGAGCGGTGGCTAGCACCAGCCGGTGCCAGCCAGCGTAGCAACAACCCTGCTTATCTTCCCCCAATTTTCCATGACTTTCAAGGAAAACTTTTCCGGAGGATTTTCCAAGGTTGTGGGCACCCCGATTAAAGTTGTTTTTTTTCATTGCAATATCTCTCCTCGGTCATATATTCACTATGTAGTACAGTGACCATATGCTAACGTAAGCAAACAAGTTTCCCTTTAAACCTGAGATTAACCCTCCTATGCTGAAGTCACTCTTTGGGTCATTTGGTGAACACCTCAAAGAAGCACAGCTGTGTCATGTTGTGCACTGCACTAACTGTCCCTCACAGGAATATCAGATTGCCTTTTTGTGCTGCCCAACAACTGTGCTTCACTGTTTCATGT